AGGTCCTCGCCTGTCATATACAGGCTAGGTTTGTCTTTACTGACCGACAGCTGGCTGCTAGCTTCTCGAGATCGCTTCTCTGACCCCGATGTATCGTTGGATATTCCGTCCGACCGCTTGCGCTTCCRGCCGACGACCGGGCTTGCTAATGGTAGCAATGTAGAACTGTCGTCGTTCTGAAACTGGTGGCGTTTATGGAATTCCAAGCCCTCGCGTAGTTCGCCGATAGAGGTGATCCGTYTATAGGCTACCGCCTTGGTCACCCCCTTGACGCCTCGTTCTCTTGCTAGACTTAGATGCTCAATCTCTAGCTTCCGCTTGTCGGAGACCCATGAGAACTTTGCTACGTTGCCGTTTCGCGTTGTGTAGCATGCAGTCCCTCGGCATACGACTGCGTTCTGCCGTACGAGMGGCCTACTGAGCCTGATTCTCGTCGCATCGCTGTCTATATCGTCTAGCACAACATAGCGGTGCTCACCTTCCCGTTCGATAAACGTATCTAGGCCCATGGCCTCTTCGTCCATTGTCGCGTACCCGACAAGAGCGCGTGCGAATTGGTCTGGCCTATCGTGGATGTTAAAGGGCCCCGAGCTATACGGTCCAGACCGATCAAAGACCCAGAGCTCTATCATAGATGCACAGAGTAGGAAAGCGTGGATAAATCTCCGCGTAGGCTGATCTYTRAAAATGCTTCGTATATGACGTGTTAGTTGTAGAAGATCGGCCTTGAATCTACTAGTTTCGTAGGACTTCTTCTGCTCCCCTATAACGAGGATATCTCTAAACATAAAGGCTCTATCCGTATACGTGGGCCTTTGGAAAAATATATCCATCTGGCCTTTCCGTCCATCGAACTGGTTAGCGGTCTGGGTGGTATAAAGCTTGTACGGTGCCCCGGCCAAGGCGCTTTCTTGTAGTGAACACAGCCAGTCCCAGACGGCCCATTCGTTAGTAACTGATGGAAATGCCGACCACTTCTTCCCATCGTACGCYSTCATCACGTCTYGYAACATTCTTCTCTGATCATCGCTCCAGTTCTGGGGGTTGAAGAATTTATCGCAGAAGCCGCCGACACCGCGAAAGGTGCAGTCCCTAACCTCAAAGAAAAGCTCCTTCTCGACAACCTCGCGTGTTTCGTTATCGGTAAGTCGACCCGAGCTCGCTTTGACGGGAGTCCCCTTGAAGGTCGGAACAGCACTAGGCGGCGGGGGCGTGAGCGGGCTGAGGGTTTTGATGATGTCAAATACCGCAGCCCAAACTGCCTGGTCGGGTGAATCGTCGACGATGTGGCGGATCAGGGCTCGGAAGTGATGGAGCTTCACTGCGTCAGATCGGACTTGCTGTCGTATAGAGAAGAGCTTGAGGGCCACATTGCCGCCTCCATCTGGTGAAGAAAGAGCAGTTGCCGCTGAAGCATCGAGCAGGGAGAGCAAGATACTCGCGACGACTTCCTGCTGCAGGTTCTCGACGTCGTTACTCAGTCTCTTGAATGGATCGAGTACGGGACCGAGAGGGCGTATTGCAATAATGTCGAGGTCCCTTTGTGAGAGTCCCATACTGACGCTTCCGCGTGAGTATGTGACGGTCTGTTCGGCGTCGTGTTCCAGGAATAGATGGAGGCGCAGAGTGCGAAGGAAGTGTTGTAGATGTGATGATTTTTCGATTATCGCTATGCGAGAGCAACTATTGCGGCACGAGATGTGATAGAAAGCACAGGAAAGAGAGGATGATGATGATTCATTTTCTAGGTTCTAGCTAATCTAAGATTTGCGGAAGAGACTTGTTGGATATGGCTGTCACGTGCCCAGAAGCCTCGGTGAAGGGACTCAACAGCAACTAAGCTATGATCTATATTGTTATGTGTGTCACAGTGTGTGTGTGTGTGTGTACTCGTAGGATTTTGTCGCACTGATATTCCATAGAGGAATAAGGACAACAGTAGATCATTAAGCGGGCAGAAAACAGCCATATCTCGAGCCCTTTTCATCATTACATCAGTGAATAATTATCCGGATAAATCTCTCTCCGATCTAGAAGCCTCAGACGAGCGTTTTACCGACATTACTCCGCCGCTCAGTCCGACACAGATTTCGGTCACGTGCACCAGTTTTGGTGATGATCCACCGCACCTATGACGGAGCAGAGGAAACAGATGATATGATACTCCAACTTCCATCATCCCAAGTACAGGTCCTCTTTGTGAGCATGTCTATCGTTGTTCTTACGATACGTCTCCTGATCCTTGCGTCGGTTATAAAGACGTCGCATCGATGAACGGCATGCGTAGTAAACAGAACGTAGAGGGCACCGTTTTGCAATATGCTATGAGCTTACGCGTATGAACGGTAAGAGGACTCAGCTATAGCAAGGAGCACGCTTGTTCAGGCTGGTCACATGTATAGGCGACGTTTAGCTGTGGAGAATGAGCGACCATATAGTTGGTGCTGATTTACGCAGTTACGTATCGGGAGTCTACACAGCTCATGTGATGTGGTTCGCATGGTTCATCTAGCTGAGCCATGGCACGAGTGAAAGGGGCATATGGTGAACAACGGTACTCAACTGCCTCCTCTATCAGTGAACTTGTTGACTTTTGCCAGTAACTCATGTCTCGGCTGATACTTCGTCCATTGCTTTACCAACCACGCACGCGTCTTGCTAGCAGGCCGTGTTCAGTCCGACGGGCACTGAGCCTCTGACCCATCAACTTGCTATATCCTGTCTACACTTGCAATAGGGGGGGGGTCCTATTCATGCTGGCGGGGATGAGATCAGCTTATCGATCGGGCCAGAAATGGTGGGGTTGTTTGGACGCAGTGTGGTCTGCCAGATAATATGTCAGATATTCGAGGCAGGAAATAAGTAAGCATTTTTAAGCATTTTTTATCGTGTAAAATCATTACCAGCAACAGGCTTTTTTCCCGTGTACGAGTACTTGTAGATGGTAGAGGGTATTGCTTGTATCTCTATTAAGGAGTATTTTCCTGCAATACTATCTCTAATTGACGTCTTCCCTTCTGATGTCATCAACAGATGTGTTCAGAAGAGAAGAAGAATACGGAGGAGTATTACCTGAAGAGCAGTAAGGATCAACATCAGACCCAGCTCTTACCTACCCTGTGGTTGCCATCACGAGGTGCACGGAGAAACGAGTACACCAAGATGCGGTGCTCACGATAACTACGTAGGATCGGATGATACAAGCATTACATTTCCTTGCCTGTTATTATGGTCGACACAGGAGGCTCAGTTGAATTACGATGCGGCGGATGGTGCGTCATGTATGATGGCATGTGCATCATCGGGCAGGATACTGACGTTGGTCAAGATAACTTTGGGAATAACACAGTTGGTTGACTACACCTGCAGTACCAAGACTGCATTGGATGCCTGTGAAGCAAGGGTGACGACGAGAAAGAAGAAAACAAGAACAGCGGAGCCTGTCTGCCATGCTATGAACAAGAGCACACATCCTTGGATTATCAGCCCCCCCCCTTCCTCCCTCCAACTCAATAACAAAGACCCTGACCGGGAGATGGGTCTGGCAAGCCACGCGCGGAGGGGGGCTTGACCTGGGTGCCTTGAAGGATGCTTGACTGGTTGTGTTTCAAGTTGAGAGCAGTGGTACATGTACAGGTACTCTGTACGGGTACGAAGGGAAGCCTGTCATAGATAAGACGGAGCACTTCATGGATCCATCAACTACGAGCGTAACATACCCCTCACACTCCAGAGCTGTTTATCTGTATGCCAGGCACGAGGGGCACGGCGAGGGAATCAACTGTCAACGACTGCCAGTCTAATTGGGCTGAGGCGTAGAAGGGTGGAAATTGACGTGGATACCTTCAAGCGGCCCCTCCCCTCTCCCTGATGTGGAGTACAGGTACGAGTACAGATACATGTGGTAATATCCTCAGAAATATAGTTAGTGGCCGTTATTATGTCGGGTGACAGGCGCACATGGCAACTGCATCATGATTCATGCAAATCTTGACAGGAAGAGGGCAATAATTGAGGGAATAAAGGCTGCGGGTAGCAAGTTGTTTGATGCTCGTAGTCGTTGGCTGTTCTGACGTCTCTGGCCCAAACTCGACCGGTCAACTCTTTTCGCCTCCTCCCCCCCTAAAAGGAAGCAGAAATGTTGATACGAAAGACTCTATTCGGATGAGAGAGAATGACAGAGAGAGAGAGAGAGAGAGAGAGGGGGTGGGGGGGGTTGGGGTTGGGGTTGGAGTAGACCTAATAAACGGGTAAACTCAACGGGCAAGGACGGTTAGATCCAACAGCGGGAAACTCGGTCAGCGGCTCCGCGAAAGATTCCGTCTGAATAGGGTTGTCGGTTGGTCTGACCGCTAATAGCAGGGACGGACATATGGACTGGGTGATGCTGATCCTAAATTGTCGGTTTGCCACTGCATCGTCATCACCGACCGGGTGACGTGACGAGAAATTTGGACGGAAGGAGAACATGGATCACGTCGTAATCTGGTTGCTCGGACCAAGAGTGAAAGCAACAGTAAACAAAGGCAAACCCAATTTCGTGTGCCTCGACCATCGAGACAGAGAGAGAACCTGTATGTACAACCAACGGTCAAGGAGTTGGCCGACGTCGAAAGGGCGGCGGCTTGAGCGTCCAACCCCCCCCACAAGCAGAAAAGGGGTTGGCAGAGAGATTGTAGTCATACTCGTAATACGGTGTGATCTGTATGATATACTATGTCATGGAAGAAGAGGAGATGGAGTGAAAAGGGGAGGAGGGTACGTGCAGATGGAAACGGGGTATCATGTCCCCCCGTGGTAATAACACGGCAGAGGAGGGCTATGAGAGAGAAGTTGCGTCTGATGTATTCTCTATGGCGACTTTGACGCTGCACTGCACTGCACCTGTTCGTAGTTGATAGGTATCACACCTGTACTATCATATCACTGCCAGTACCGTACTAGCAGGAGGGACTCCCGTGCGAGCATATAACAACAAACCCACGCATGAATGAGAGGAGTCGTTCGGGTTCCTACACGATGACACCAGGTACAGGGTCATAGACGTGACGAGAACATCCCAGGGTATTACGGGTGGCAAGATGCATAATACATGTACTAATTAATAACCCGCTGCTTCAGCTCTACGGGTTGCTCCGTACCGTAGGGCTCTCGTGTCGCGCGGTGGTCCGTGGATTGCTCAGCCCGAAGTCCCCGTGTACGAGGTCGAGTATTGCCGGCATCTGATGTCGTTGCATTGACATGTCGGCACAGGGTCCCAGGACAATGGCGGAGAGGGTTTGCATGAGTCGCAATATGACCGTCCTCACCTCCAATCTCTCGTATGTCGCGTGTACGGGTATGTGTAATGCCATCGAGCCATCGCTACCCGTCTGGTTCGCCAAGCTGGGAGGTTCTGATGAAAAAGGGGGCAGCATCAGAGCTTGCTGCATCGGTTGAGAGAGGTGGTGAAGAAGGTGGCAGGATCATATACGAGTATGTAATCTGTAGTCACCTCTGGGTAAACCCCACACACGAACATATGAGTACGTGCATTATTACAGTGTATCATATCGTGTAGCGGTTGTCATCATCATCAGTGAAGGGATATACTGAGAGACTCTGATGCCCAGATAACCTTCCTACTCAGTTCGTCGTCGATCACCTCATCTCCCAGGCTATGAGGTCCCTTCTTTTAGCATCCGTCGTTTCAGAAAGGATTATCGTGTGGTCGCATACATGTGCAAGCTTATGATTCGGAAGAATACATGTGGTATTGTCCTCGTTATTATCAATAGTAATCTGTACTCGTATAACAGCAATGACTATTACACGTCATGTTTGAGCACATCATTATTCCCTCAGTGGGAAATTTGTACGAGTACGTGCATGCACTGCGAGTATAAACAAGAGATAGAATGCATCATACATGAAAGGGGGTCATGGTGAATAGGACAGACAGCCTTGCAGTCTGCAATTACCAGAGACTCCATAGCCGTGCATCACGTACAAGTACAACACCATACGAGGAATAACGTATAGTAATACATAGCACCACACACTGCCGACCCATCCGTACCACACCAATACGGACAGCAACTTCACAACCCACAGGGTACATCTGCAAACCACGGAACAATAGTAACCGTGTACTCGTGCCAGGATTCGATATGACAATCATCACCAACCTCAGCTGAACCGTCAGGCCTCGCTGGAAGTTTGCAAGCCACAAGAACAAGGAACGTTGGTGCGCCAGGGAGAAGCAAAATGTCCACCTTGCTCGACAGGCAAAATAGCAAACTGTAGCCTTCAATAATACTGGAACTCAAAACATGACATCCTACCGTGATGACACTGTACAAGCAGGTCGTAATAACAACGAAGACACGACGGTCCAGAGAGGAGGAAAAAAAAAAAGAGCCTAATATCCCCAAATTTATGGTGAAGAAAGGACTGTGATACTACGGAAGAGACGGTGGCGCCAATCACCCTTCCTTTCTTCTACTTCTTTCTTCTTCTTCTTTTCTATGACGCCTTGGTCAACTAGACAAGATTGTACTCGTATTTACGAGTATTGACATGTCGATCCCGTATAATGACAGGCCCCAAGACCGGGGAGGGGGCAGGGTCTCCACATCGGAGGCCGGGGGAAATTAGAAAGGGGGGAGACGGACTCAGGAGACGGACTAGAAGGAGAAGAGAGAGAGACCGAAAGAGAGAGAGAGACCGAGAGAAAGAGAGAGAGAGAGAGTGTGTGTATATGTGTGTATGTATGTGTATAGTATGTGTATAGTATGCGTATAGTATGTATATAGTATGTGTAGGTGGTCGGAAGAAGGCTAGGTTGCCTTGGCATGTCCCCTTTCTTTTATCAAAACACTGCAAAATTCTTCTTCCTCTTTTTTATTATTAATTCTCATCATAAAGGTCAATGCGATAATTGGGCGATCTTAATTAACTCCCCAAGGGTACAGATGAATATGATTATCCCGGGTCCCATGGTGTTTGCCTGCCCCTGCTCCTCCCCACCCATCCTCCTGCAAGTAAACCACCCAACTTCCTCCCGACTGCCGTGGTAATGTAAACGGACAGGTCATATCATATGATGACTTCATGGGAGGGGGGGGGGGAGAAGAGGGCACCTCGGGCGAATTACTACCCCTGAGCATCGTTTGCAAAGGGGTTAGGATTGGGGTGTGTGTGGGGGGGGGAGAGAAGGAGATTGTGTATGTGTGTGTGGTGGGTGTATGGGTGTGGGTTATACTCTCAGCGGTGACCCCGTTGAGCTGCTGGGATGGAAGAGAGAGGAGAGGGATGGTGAATATAAACGCGAGCATCGGACGACTTGGTTCCCATCTTCTCTTCCCTTTCCTCTCTCACCAGCATCAGCCTCACAGTCATTCCTTTCATTTGCCTTTTGCAAGCAAAGCTTTTACACTCTTTTACAAGCGCAAGATCAGTCACTCATTTATTTGATAATTTGCTTCTTACAATCGTAATTCAAAACCAACCCCATCTAATTCAGTTCTACGTCTTCTTCACAATGAAGGCTGTTGGTATCCTCTCCATGGCCACGGCCGCCTCGGCCGCTCCCCTCCTGGGTAATCTCCTCGCCACGGTTGAGGGTGTCGCCGGAAGCCTGCCCGTCGTCGGCGACCTCCTCACCGACCTCCCGGTCACCGACCTCGTCAGCGGTGTCATCAACCGTCTCCCCGTTGACGACCTCGTCGACGCTCTCCCCATCGAGGAGATCGTCAGCAACCTGCCCGTCGACCAGATCCTGGCCGCTCTGCCCATCCAGGACATCATCAGCACCCTCCCCCTCAAGCGCGACGTCGTCGACGCCGAGGTTGCCGCTGACATCAACCTGAAGCGCGATGTCACCGTCTCGGCCGACGTCGACGCCGAGGTTGACGGCCTGGCCCAGCTCTCCGTCGCCCTCGACAAGCTGTCCCTCTCCGACCTCCTGAGCGGCCTCACCTCGTCGCTCCCCGTCAGCAGCCTCGTCCAGGCCCTGCCCGCCGAGGACATCGTCAACGCCCTGCCCGTCCAGGACGTCATCAACCTGCTCCCCGTCAGCGGCATCGTCTCGCGCCTCCCCGTGAAGCGCGACGCCGCCAAGCGTGACGCCAGCACTGTCACCGAGACCCCCGTCGTCAGCGACCTGCTCGACCGCATCCCCACCTCCAAGCTCCTCCAGGCCGTCGTCGCCCTCCTCCCCGCCAAGGACATCGCCCAGCAGCTCCCCGTCTCCTCCATCGTCTCGCGCCTCCCCGCCGCTGACATCCTCGCCGCCCTCCCCGAGAGCGTCGTCTCCAAGCTGCCCAACGCCAAGCGCGACGTCGAGCAGGAGGAGTTCGCCACCACCCGCACCATCTCGTACGCCACCACCTCGACCTGGGCTACCACCTCGACCTGGGCCACCACCGCCACCGCCCTCGCCGGTGTCGCTACCGGTGGTGCCCCTGTTGCCAGTGCCGCCGCCAGTGCCGCTACCGGTGGCGTCCCCGTCGCCAGTGCCGCCGCCAGTGCCGCTACCGGTGGCGTCCCCGTCGCCAGCGCCGCCACCGGTGCCCTCCCCGTCGCCACCTCCGGCGCCGAGGTCGTCTCCAACATCCAGAGGACCATCACCCTCGTCAAGGTCTACACCGGCAAGATCAACTCTACCGTCACCCGCGTCCAGGACGGCACCATCACCAAGGAGGAGGGTCTCACAATCTCCATCAAGGTCCTCAAGGGCATCAAGATCGAGCTCGAGGCCCTCGTCGCCTCCGTCACCCTCGAGAACGGCACCCTGGTCATCAAGTCTGACCTCCTCGTCCAGATCGTCAGCCTCCTCCAGGTCCTGATCGTCGAGATCGTCGCCACCGTCAACAACCTGGTCGTCCTCATCGGCCTCCGCCTCCAGCTCGCCTCGCTGCTCCACGCCATCTTCGCTGTCGTCGCCAACCTCCTCGTCATCCTCAACGCCGTCCTGGTCGGCCTCATTCCCACCCTCCTCGAGGCCCTGAGCCCCGTCCTGGACGTCCTCATCAACGGCATCCTGGGCCCCATCCTGTCGCCCGTTGTCGGCCTTGCCCCCCTCAAGCTGTAAGCTTGCTTAGTTTCGGGACTCAAGGTTCAGATGTCTTTTGACTTGTGCGTGCGTGTTGTGGTTGCATATTAGAGAAGCGTCTTCTCTCTAATGGTTTAGCTCATGTCGGTTTTCTTACATGTTGGCATGATTATTTTTTGTTTATAATCTTTAAAAATTGGCGGTGGATTGTCCAGTGTGGCTTGAGGTCGTACTGGCCATGGTCCACGCAGATACTGTTCGATGGATATATTATCAGCAAATCAATGTTTTTCTCTCATGCTCTTTCTTCCCCTCCGTGCCTCCCTCGTCATTCCTATGATTCGTAGTGTTTAGCTGGTCTTCAGTCGTCCTCGCACTCCCTTGCACCGCTAGGTTAACCTCGCCCAACCCCTCGTCACCGTCCTTTTTAAACTTTCTTCCAAGGCAGTAATGCTAAGCTCGACAGTCCGCTCGCGTTGTCGTGCGAACCTGCGCGCGGCGTTGTCCAGTGCTTCTGGGTTCGGTAATATATATATATATACGTCCGGCCCCCTCAGACAGTCCACCCCGATCTCTAGGCGCATCGGTGATGTCCTCGAGCTCCTACACATGCCCTTCCTTGCACCTTGGAGATGCTATGAAGTGATGGCCGCGGTGCTCATCAGCTCCGGTCGCCGTCGAGCCACCCCACCGCGCATATGGGCCTCCTCGAGTTCCTGGCTGTTATACGGTAGCCCACCGCGGCCATCCGGCTTCTGGGGAGTTGCATCCTCGAGCGGACAGGACAGCACCGGGTCGGCCCTGACAGATGATGACCTGTCCGGGTGGCCATTGACGACAGCGTGCAGCAGGGCATTCAGCCCGTGGCCGATGGGTGTGCCTGCATCACCTAACGGGCTACTGATCACCCGAGTCATCATCAGTCAGCTCACCAGCTTCTTCCTTGGGCAGGATGCATCCGTCGACCTCGCGCACGGAATAGTACACGGGTGCTAGGGTGACGAAGACGGGTGGGTGGGGGACCGTAGATGATAATATAGCAGTGACGGCTCACCGAGGTTGTAGACGTCGTGCAAGGCGAGGTTGGGGTTCACGCCCCCAAGATTGTTGGCGAGACATGTGAAGACCTCGGGGCTGTTTCTTAGCAGGATGGATGTCTCTCTGCCCTCGGGCGAGACCCAGACTCCTCCTGTAGGCATTTCCGGTGGCTTGCCACAAGATGTTGATGCTGACGTTCTGGGGAGACTGCGTCTGCGGGCGAGGTTCAGGCTGTGTGGCGTACAGATGACGTGATGTCTACACTGTAGATAACGGAGATCAGGTATAGGATATCCCTACATTCGAGACCAAGAAATAAGAGGATTGTTCAAGATCAGTATGCAGGCAAAGAAAATCTTTCACCATGACTGCCGACAACTCAATGTGCGTCCCAAGTTGTGGTACCGCTATCGTTCATGGCCCCGGTATGACGATATGCGGAGGCTCATCTGGGGGTTGGGTGCTACGGGCTGTTACTACACTGCTGCTGCTTGTACTCCGCCCCGCCACAAGCGTAGCGCAAAGCCCGCCGGCTCCTGCTGTTCCCCCCCAAGCTTCCCCGATCCAATCCAACAAAGCCTCATCGCATCTTCCAGCCTCCCCTTCACCCAGACAGACACACATAACAATACCGCCAACCCCCCCCCAAGAACCGCACTCACTTCAATCTAGTTGCAATGGCGTTCCTCATCCTCGTAATCGGGGACATGTACATTCCCGACCGGGCGCTGGATATTCCCGCCAAGGTAAAGTGCCCGCCTTTGGAGAGAGTAACAGTAGCCGGGTTGGGGAGGACGGAGAGGGAATGGGGTAGGGCAAGTAGGCTGACTTCCGTTCACAAAACAGTTCAAGAAACTCCTCGCTCCCGGAAAAATCTCCCAGACCCTATGTCTGGGTAACCTGACTGACAAGCACACGTACGACTACCTCCGGTCCATCTCGCCGGACCTCAAGATCGTCAAGGGCCGTCATGACATCGAGGCCACGTCTCTTCCCGTCGCCCAGGTCGTCACCCACGGCGGCATGCGCGTCGGCTTTCTCGAGGGCTTCACCCTCGTCTCCCCCGAGCCCGACATCCTTCTCGCCGAGGCCAACCGTCTCGACGTAGACGTCCTCTGCTGGGGCGGCACCCACCGTTTCGACGCCTTCGAGTACATGGACAAGTTCTTTGTCAACCCGGGTAGTGCCACTGGTGCTTTCCACCCAGGTTGGGGTCTAGAGGCTGAGGATCCTACCCCTAGTTTCTGCCTCATGGATGTGAGTTGCTGCAGTTACTACTACCACTACTACTATTACCACTACTACTCTTCCTCTCCCTCCCTTCCCCTCTCTCGGTCCCCCAACGAGAGAGAGAGGGAGGGAGGGAGGGAGGGAGAGAGAGAGGGGGCCCTGTCCAATGCAGAACAAAACAAAACTGACATACACACACAATAGGTCCAAGGAATTTCCCTCACCCTGTACGTCTATCAATTGAAAAAGGACGACAATGGAAATGAAAACGTCGCCGTCGAAAAGGTCACCTACACAAAACCTGTCGAGCCCCAGCCCTCATCGTCATGACGTTTCCAGCTCACCACCATGATGCCATGAAACAAATCACAACGCTACCATACATACACACATCACTACGTCCAAGTCGATACCCCCTCCGCATCCCATCAAATTCACGACGCGACCTTACACAGCTTTATACTTGCCTGCCTACCTCAGCTCATCTTGTTCCTCAAAATAGGAAAACCAAATAATTATTGGTTAGACGCCGTTCCGGCAATGTATCCTATAATCGATGTGACAAGCAACTTCAAATATACTACTTGAAAAAGTCAGGAGTTTCCCCAAAAAAATGATGCATAAAAAAAAAAGAGAACGCTACGCCGCTATTCTTTCTTGGTATCGTGGGCATGAAAAGAGTAAAAACAACAAAAGCAATGTCTAACACGTCCTTAGGACGCTAAAGACAGGGGACTTTTTTTTTTTTTGGATGAAACCAATGTAAAGGAACTCCTCCCAGAACAAACATGTGCTCATTCTATATGGATTTTTCCGTCATGATAATCAAATAATGCCCCTCCCCCCCAAAAAAAAACCCCCAAAATAAAGGCCGTTTCTTACACCACCATACTCCTCCTTCGCGATGAAGATGGCTGGCTGGTTGGTACGACGCCGTCGTCACCCTCGAGGGCCGTGGAGAAGCGTCGTGACGACGACTTGCTCTGCCGGCCCGTGGCCTTTCTCCTGCCCTTCCCGACTTGTGGTGATGTCTTAAATTCGTACAGGTCCACGTCTGAGAGCCCGACGCTTTCTGTGCTCTCGTCCTGGAAAGAAGAGTCTGCAAGTGCCGGACATGGTCGCTTGCGCTTCTGCATCGCCGTTGCCTCCACATCAGTCTGGCTACCCTTCTTGGCGAGCGGACTGGCGGGGATGCTGCCAGGTTCAGGGCCTGACGGGGCTTCGGCTGCACCAGAGCTTGAGCCGGACTGACGCTTCGAGTTGGCCGAGTCGAGTGTCGTGAGGTCAAACTGACTCGAGCGCCGCGACCCTGTTACGGCGTCGACCAGGTCCTTTGTCGGCCTCCGCATCTTATCTCGTAGATTTGGCTCCGCGTAGCTAACGACGCCCCTGCTCCGTCTGCTTCCTCGCGATGTCTCGCCCTGGGAACTGATGTCGGCTGGGGGCGGGGTGTCTCCCCGAGAGGCCTCCTCGGCAGGATGCGCTGACTGCGGAGGGTTGGGGCAGACAAGGTCCGACTCTGCAAGCGGGGTGGGGACGCTCGCGCTGGTCGTAGGCGCCGGCGCCGGCTCGGGTACAATATCAACCACCTTCGGTGCCGCCGCCTTCCCCCTCGCCTTTTGCGCCAACTTGGTCTGGGTGACCTCGGCCTTGGCGGATGCCACCTCGTCTGTTGAGGTCATCCTTGCCTTCTTGGGTGATGAGACGTCGTCGTTGGTGCTCCTGGCCGAAAGGGGCTTCCGGTTGGTGCTGATTGCTGGTCGCTCCCCCTTCCTCATGCTGGAGAGCTCCTTCAGCGTTCGTCCCTCGGCCTGCTCGCGAACCGATGACTTCCCTGGTGCTAGCTGCGGGGGCTGGTTCTCATTCGACACCTTATGTGCGGGCTTGGTGTTGGTGGCATCGCCGCGAGCCGTGAATTTGCGCTTGACTCCGGCCTTGGTAGGAGACATGATTGTCATATCGGTCCCAGAAGGCTTCAAGAGTTCAGGCTCGACGGAATCGGGTGTGTTCTGGAGCTTCGGCGTGTTCTTTATCGGTCGGGACAGGATATCGGTTCGCCTCTTTTGGGGTGACGGCGATGTTTCGATCTGGTTGTCTGCTCTCGGGGAGGGCAGTGCCTCGGGCGGGTCCATCCTCTCCCTGGGGCCCGGCTCGAACTGTTTGGCAAGCGATGCTGGCGGCGAGTCAACTTTGATAGGGTCTTCTTCGATAAATTGCGACATGGGCGGCGGGCCCAGTTCGGCATCGTCATCGTAGTCCGCTTCGGATCGTAGAGCAAGAATTTGTTCAGGACTGCGTATTCGTCAGCATTTGGACGGTGTGCGTTGGGGGGGGGGGGGGATATAGCAGGTCATACTTTAGAGATTGGCGCGAGAACGACTTGTGTTCTGAGATGCTCCCGAGGTCCTCGATATCTCTCGCCACGTCTCGAAGTCTCCTCTGAGAGGGGCTGGGTCGGTTGTTGTTGAAGCTGATTGGCCTTTGTGAAGTTTTCTGGATGCCAGACGGGCGGCGTTTCGACGGGGGCTCCAACCCCAGACCGGCAATGAGCTCACCCCATTGTGAAAGTTGTGATTCTAGCTGGCTTTTTATGGCCAGGGCATGGTCTGCTATGCGACGCGACTCATTGTCATCGACTTGTTTTTCGAGATCAATGACCCGGCCACGGAGCTGGATATTTTCGGAGAGCATGCAGGCACACTCATTTTCTAACTCCCGGATTCGGAGAGCGCGCACATTATTCAACTTGGCGAGATCCCTATTCTGGCGAAGAAGCTTTCTGCGAACTGTATTTGGGAAGTCAGCAGGCAGGCCAGAAAGAGAAGATACCTGCAATATAAGACGGGTAGGGGGCCACACGCACGCGTTTCGAGACTGTCCGTAGACACCGGAGGCTCATTGAGCCTCGCCATATCTGACAACCACACGGCAAGACCAGGAGGGTGTCAGGCACGATACAGAAAAGCAGGATGTATGTACAGGTTTTTAAGGTTGTCGACGTGAAGCCTACGGCTCTGGGGAATTTGAAGCGCGTTGTCCAGGTACCACCTTGGCTGGTAGAGTGATGATCGCAGGCGTGACGTTCGACGGTCTGTAGGAGGTTGGAGAATCAATGGGGGGAAGCTGTTGTCGCGGTGTATTTACGTGAGGCCTGATGTGGTATAGCGCCAGAAAAAAATACCAACAAAACGGCCGTTGCCGGGGCGCCGCCTTGCTCTGTCACTTTACTGCGCCCCACCTACGCTGTAGTACTCACATAATTCACGTGAGCACCACCATCGGTACCTCCTACGTAACCCCCACCAAGATCATTAACGCGCCCGCGACGGCGGTCAAGCAGATCGAAGGAACGGTTCCCGTACCTGAATATCGATACAGAAACAGCAACATGTCGTCCTACCCGAAGCGTTCGTTCTCGTCGCACATCCGTGCCTCTACTGCTGCTGGCTCCTCGGCACAGTCGCCGGCATTGGTGGCACGCATCGAGGAGAAGAAGGCGGAACTGGAGCACTTGAAGGAGCTCCAGGAACTCAGCTCGGCAGTCGCAACGCAGATGGAGGCTCTTGAGCATAAGCTGTCGACGCTGTCTGATGGGACAGAAGGTGGGCATTTACAAGGCCACCCGCGCTTTCATGGCATATTGCTAACAGCCTCACTGCAGCCATTGCGGCAGTCGTGGGGAACTGGCACAATGTTCTTCGGGCAATCAATATGGCGTCGTGTAAGTTCCCATACGACCAATCCGACCACGGTTCCGAACAGAATGGTTGACTGATAGCTGCGGATGCGCTGTAGCGAAACTCACCAAAATCCCTGGCGAGCCCGAGGAGGAGCAAACCGAAGACAATGACGATTCGCTTCCCCAGACGTTGGTACGCATACCGACAGAGCATGCACCCGTCGTGCAAGCACAGGCCGACGCTGCCCAGGAGGACTCTATCATGAGCACATAAGCTGCCAGAACACGCCGGCGTAACAATCGATTTGGAAGCAACTGTCCACTCGATACAACAACCGAAACCTGCCAGATTCCAGCATCTCAGCGCACCAGAACTCCGCCCATCTTGATATATGCTACGCCGGATCATACCTGCCATATCTATACCGGCCACCATCATCTCCAACCGTGCCTGCTGCAACTGGTAGGAGCGGTACAGGACCGTGGGGCCCAATTTCGGGAATATTGCGACACGTGGCAAGTCAGGCTGGCCGTGTAGGACATTCTTATCGGGCCTATGCCAACACGAGCTGATAGTACAGCATTGATGGTCATCGTGAAGCTCTGGCCACAGTCGAACTTAACTACGGGACTTGCCGCAGTCTACATTACGAAGAGGGACAGGCGAAACAAAAGGCAGTCGTGGTCCTCACGACCCGCGTGTCTTAGTCATCCAGACAGAGCCCCCTATTGGTCGAAACCAGGCTTGTGCTGTGTTGTTTGGACGCGTGGAGCGCGACGCAAAGAGGAAGGCACAATTCATGTATGTATCTACCCGCAGGCATAGAAACAGCTTAATGCCATGCAGTAGCTCTGAGGAGGGGAGGAAGGCACAACCGCTATTTACATTGTTACCAGGTAGCCGTGATTGACTATGTTGACTCTGATATATTCACCCCGCTTCCGCCCTGCCCTCTCTCATCATTGTACAGCATCGTCATTGACAGAAACACTTCGTACACATCCCTCTCCATTAGTAGTCTCATAAAACAAACACCCCGGCTCTTCCCCTTGCGGAGCTTCAAATCACACGGTCTCGACTGTACGCGTCCCCGCTTTCTCAGGAACTATACCTCCCCTGTCGATCGTCGAAATTACTACCCTTGCTGTGTCTATGAGTCCCAAGGGTCTTAACCGAGAGATGGACGAATTACGGATGACGCCTCGCGCCAGGCGGGCCCAAAAAGCCGCCGACTTCGATATTTTTGAAGATAAGATTCACTCAGTATTAAGTCTCGGACATCCCCCTGATTTTACATCATCCTTTGGCGACAACGACGACGACGACGACGACGACGACAGGACGCTGGTCTTGAACGAGCTGACAGGCGACTTACAAACACGCCGGTGCAGAAGGACGGTTTCCAAGAGGCAACAACAACAACAACAACGGGAGGGTTCGCCTGAGCCAACCAGCAGTGATATCCGCATTCCTCGGCGTCGCCCTCCTATGAGCCCCAGAACTTTGGCATCGCTAAGGCCTCCCCAGCAAGAGTCCTCATCCGATTGGCTTGAATGGGACTGCAAGCCCAGCCCGGCTGTTACCTCAATTCCTAGAAGTCCTGCAGGGGGACCCTCGAGTCAGTTTCCCACCCTTTCTCGCACCCAAATCACATCGCTGACGTTGCCTCCCCTCTCGCCGAGCAGCCTACGATACCACCGAAAGCGACCCCCTTATTATCCCTAACCCCGATCTCTCCCTTATACGGGGTCAAGTTGAGAGGCACCTGGCAGGTCAGTTTGAATGGATCGTCACGTATTCCGGACCAGGTTCATCGGAGGACAACAACGACAACAACAACGTTGGCAGCACCGAGGACAGGTGTGGGAAGACATCTGAGCCTCTCACATTCGGCTGTAACCTTCTCCGAAGATACGAATCGACGAGCCACCTGTTTGCAGACGAAGGAGAACATCAGGAGGCTGACAAATATGCTCTCCTAGCCACTCCGTTGAAGCAGAATAACGCTTCCTTGATTCCCATTACGAGAAAGCCTAATAATAACTCCAAGGATTCAATGGCCATGGCTGCGTCCCAATACTTGGCGCCTGGAATAACAGGTGACAAGAACGTGGAGGTGGTTGAGGTGGTTGAGCAGGCGGTCTCCCCGTCGCTCAGCCAATATAGTGACCAGGGCGGGGGGGTTCATGGCCAGCTGGGAGGACTACCCACCCCCCCTCGTATTGAAGACTCCCTGGCAGAACTGGACAAGCTCGAAGATGATTTAGAGGCCGTCGGCTTCGTCACAAGATCGGGCCGGACGGAGCGGAGGAAAACCGTCGACGACACTCCCCTGGCTTCCGATGGCTCCCGGTCTGGTAGGAAGGGCCCGAAGCCAGCCCAGGCGATGACCACAGCCACCTGGTCTGCTACCACATCTACCAGGACGACCGCAAAGCCCGGACCCGCTCCAGGGCGAACCAGCCAAGGGCCAATGCGCGGAGCCGGGGCCGCCGGTGCGCATAACCCTGCAGATAGGACGCCCGCCGACCCTTCCATTGCTCGGACCAGGTCCGTGAGGGACACACCAGAGTCCAGAGCCACGGTGAAGTCGACAAAGCCCCTGACTGTACCGAAGTTTGAGCTCCCCGGGGAGGCGATCGCGCGACGACTGAAGGAACAGCGTGAAGCGCGCCAGGCTCAACAGGCCGAGGCTCAAAGAGCTCAGGCTGCCCCTCCTACAAGGACTAGATCCACCAAGCCCTTGACGAGGCCAACTTTTGAACTGCCTGGAGAGGCGATTTCCCGTCGTAAGAGGGAAGAGCGAGAGGCCAAACTCAAGGCCCAGGAAGAAGAGGAGCGTAAAAGACGCGAGTTCAAAGCTAGACCTATCAGGAACAGCTTGACACCGGGGTCGTTGCCTCGCGAAACAGTTACTAGCCGTGCCCGAACCAGCAAATTTTCTTCGGAAGAAAGCCCAAAGGACCAGGAGCCAAGGCGGGACACAAAATGGCTTTCGCCAGCCAACGCAACGGGCCGCCTACCAGCCACGGGCTCCGGAACCAACAGCAGACCGCAGCTTCGAGGGAGAAACTCGATGGCCACATTGGGTGAAATCGCTAGCAGGACACCATCGGCATCGACAGGCATCAGCGATAAGAGGAGCTCGGTTTCGGCTGAAGATGCTGCGCAGATGAGAGCACGAGGCAAGGAGATTTATGCTCGTGACAACAGCATCACAATGGATCGCGAGAGGGAGAGGCGGGAGAGAGAGGCGCTGGCTAGAACAGCTCGTGAAGAAGCGGCGGAACGCAGCAGGGCAGCGAGCCGAGAGTGGGCTGAGAAGAAGCGACAGCGGGACAAGGCACTGGCCGAGTCATTGCGGGCGAGAGAATCGCTTCAGACAAGGTGAAGAGGGGACTGAGAGCCCTCATCGCAAGCCCCTTGATTTCTCGGGCTTTCATCCCTTGTACCTCTTCTTTGTCGCATTCTAAAGGCTGTCTGGAGCGCCATCGCGTTCAGGCGTCAGTAGGTGAATACCGGGCTGGGAATTCGAGTTTTTCTTTTTTTTTTTTGAGGTTTTTTTTTCAAGGTCGCGCCGTTCCCACCAAGGATGAACAGTGTTGGCTGGATGGTGTTTACTTTCGGGATTGGAGTTTTTGTTATCGTGTTCGCCTTGCTACTCGTGCCCATGGCCGCACTCTGCTTTGTTGGATCAGAGGTTCCTGTCGTCTGCGTTGCATCAGTGATGTTTTGCATTGTTACCATAGCCTGTTTTATTTACATTATTAGTTGATTGCTTCCATAACTTTACTCGTATCGCATCGTAAGTTGAGAGAAACAACTTGTGTATCGTTCCTCTAGTTAACAAGTCACAAGAGGAAGAAGATGGTGTGTCGTGTTGCCGGATTCGGTAGTGGCGGTGACGCGCGCGACAAGGTTGCCCCGCCTACTGGTAAGCGGGCATACAAGAGGGAGAGCATAAGCTTCCACCCGATAAATTTTATTTTTCCATTCAATTTCAACATGTCACGTTCCCATTGACATGATTCTGAAACGTCTTCTCTCGGACTCGACTGGTTGATTGGTAAGACGAAGAGAAGAAGAGCTGATGGCAGATGGGACAGATATTGGACATTTGCATCACCACGACCAAGAAGAAGGAGGAGGAGACGGCCGCCGCCATGGTATCAACGAAGGAAGCACACCCGGCAGTGACGGTGGCGGTGAGAGGGAGCACGAGGCCGATCGTCGGGAGGACCCAAGCCGCGAGCGCGGGCTACCCGAAGTCCCTGGATCTGTTCCACGGGATCCGATATGCTCGGGCCCCGCTGTGGGAGAAGAGCCAGCCCGTTCGGCTGGGGGAGCCGGTGTCTCCCACGGCCCGGGGGGGTGACGGTAACGGTGCCGGGGAGTATGATGACTTGTGTGTCTACATCACCAGGCCTAGTAGGAATGCCGAGTCAGAAGAGGAGAGGAGGGGAGGAGGAGGGAAGATGCCTGTCGTCGTCTTCTTTCACGGCGGGGCGTTCAACTTTGGACATGCTCTCGATTCAGACCTGAAGTCCTTTGTGGCCAGGAGTCGGAGGGATATCATCAGTGTCAGCGTCGGGTATAGGCTTGGTCCGGTCGGGTTCGGGCCTGGGAGGGATGAGAGACGTGAGGGGTCAGAGAGCGAGGAGTCAATATCCGAGGGTGGTGGCGAGCGAAACGAGGAGACAGGATTAGGAAAGCTGAATCTCGGACTTGATGATCAGATGGTTGGACTAGAGTGGGTGAGGCAGTGGATTGGAGCTTTCGGCGGTGATGGAGAGGATATCACGGTCATGGGAGTGAGTGCCGGGGCACACTCGGTGAGTTTTCTTCTTTCTTCTTTTTTTTTTCTTTCCGTCTTCTTCTTTTTGTTCTTCTCATCGTCATTCGTTGACCTTGGCAGATGAGTCAAGAAAGACTGTGGACACCGTACTGACACCACCAGATCGGCCACCACATGCTCCGACAGCCGTCGCAGCGCATCTTCCGCCGCGTGATCCTGGAATCGGGCTCGCCAACGGCCCGGTCCGTGCTGTCGGCGCGGCACCCGCGGACGGCACGGCAGTACCAGGAATTCCGCGAACGCGTGCGTGCCCTGGGCGGCGTGAACCGCAGCAACATCACCCGCGCTGGAGACGCCGTCTGGGCTCAAGGGGAGAGGTCTCTCCAATGGCCGTTCCAACCCGTCGTCGACGACGACCACCATGACAGCTCCGACTCCGACGCCGACGCCGACTCCATGATCCCCGACACCCCGCTCCACCTGTGGGATCGTCCGGGATTCGTACCGCCCCCGATACTGACGGGATTCTGCTCGCACGAGGGCATAACCTTCATCCCGCCTGACGTGACGGCGACGCTGAGAGAGTTCTTCGGCGCGCTCATCCCGGGACTGGACCTCGACGCCCTGGACGGTCTGTACCCGCCCGGCATGTATCCCAGCGAGAGGCTGCGCATCGTCGACGCCTACTCCCACCACGCGTACATCTGCCCGGCGTTCCACACGGCGCACAAGGCGTCCCTGCTGGGCCGTCGTCGCCCCCACCCGGTGTACCTGTACGAGTTCGCCGCGCCCAACACGCCAAACGGGTTCGTGTCCCACTGCGCCCACGGTCCGGTCCTGCGTCCGCCCGGCGGCGTGCCCCTCGGTCCGGGCCTGGCCGACGTGGGGCGCGAGATGATGGCGCGGTGGGAGCGGTTCATACTCTCCGGTGACGGGGACGGGGACGGGGACGGCACCGTGGGCCGCGACGACGTGTGGCCGACGTTCAAGACGCCGTTCGCAGAGGACGGCCGCGACGGCGGTGACGAGACCGCCGGCCTGCTGCTGGTGTTTGGTCAGGGGAACGATGAGGCTAGAGGCGGTACGAGTCCCGGCGTGCCTGTGCGGACCAGACGGATGACGGGTCGGGAGATGGACGTCTGCCGATTCTGGTGGGACAATATGCCTCTCAGCCAGGGCATGGGACGTTGAGGTACGAGGGAGGAGGGGTCAGTCACCTGTGTCGTCCGGGGCACGTATAATGATGCATGTATGTTTCTTGGGGGTATCAGCAGCCGTCTCCTTGTTCTTGGGATTCGCAGTCGGTTCTTTCGGTTACACTTTTTTTTTTTTTGGGGGGGGGGGGGGGGGTTTCTAATCTAATTTCGCTGTACCATCTCTCCTCCTCTTACTCTACATGTCGGCACCTGTCTTCTGCCATTCGGACATGGCTTGCTTCTTCTATACTAGCATGTGCTTTTACTATTATAACCTATAACCTACGCCTCACCCACTCTCCACGACACCTTGTGCAACAACCCCCCCCCATCCCCTTCTCGCATCTCATCTACCATATCTTGTTCATCATGTTCATCATCCTGCCTAGTCGAGTCATCAACGTGGACGCATGGAGCAATCATAGAGAAAGGATACGATAGAAACCACTGTAATAATTGTATACAAGAAAGATGAGAAGAAATACATGGAAGGCTGATTGATATTCAAAATCAAAATAGAGATAAATAAGAAATTCATTCCTCCAGATATACCCACACATTTTTTTCTTCTTCATTGTTTCCTCCCATCCAGAGAAAACAAGGACCATTATGAAACTAAAATAAGAGTAAAAGAACAGAGTAAATAGAAGATATATATATATATATATATATGAGTTAATTCAGGAGTTAAAAAAGGAAAAGGTAAAAGCCCAAGCTATGCGAACCATTTCGTATTATTTCTCAGAAACGCCAGAGAAAAGGAAATCATACAAGTCCGAAGGAGAATTTTTGTTGTTTGTTGAGTGAGGTAGAGACGGGTATCTTGTTCGGTATCGATGTGGAGAGAGAGAGAGAGAGAGAGAGAGAGAGCAAAAGGTGGACAAATGGAAAGAGAGAGGGATTGTGTGGAGCAAGGCAAAGAACAAGAAGAGGATCAGAAATTCTGCGAGATACCCGCACTCTGCTGGGGATAGTGAGCGGGATTCTCGATGCGCGTGTTCCTCCTGGCCGGATTGTCCCTAATAACCGGCTGGCTAGGCAGCTCGTGGGGTTGAGGCGGGTAGCCCCCGGCGGCCGTGCTCCCGGAGCTGGTGTGCTGGTGGCCGTGGGCTTGGGAGGCGTCGTAGAAGGGGCCGTTGGCGTACGACGCGGCCGTGCCGTCCGAGTTATCCGACTGGTTGGCGGCGCTGTACGACGAGGAAGCGTTGGAGGCGCCGCGGTTGACGCCGCCGGCTCCGGCCGCGGCCGAGGCGGAGCGGTTGTTGGCGGCAGAGGGGCCCATGGCGCCCAGGATCTCGCCGTCCGAGTAGGGGGTGTAGTGGGTGTTGCCGCCGTTGCCGTTCTCGTCGAGGGAGGCATGACCCTGCTTGGGCGACGCGGGGTCGGAGTAGGTGAGACCGCCTCCGGACATGGTGGTCGAGGCCTTGCGACCCATGGAGCCGGCGCCGCCGGCGAGGGTGGTGGTGCCCCAGCCGCGGTAGCCGCCGGCCGACGAGTCCTCGCGCATCTCGTTGGCCGCGCCGGCGTTGGGGTTGTACGAGTAGTCCTCCACCTCCTTGCGGCGCTCCTCCTCCTCGGCGGCGAGGCGGGCCTTGCGCTTCTTCCACCAGAACAGGCCGACGATGGCGAGGATGACGAGGGCGCCGATGGGCACGGCCACGCCGATGGCGATCTTGGAGCCGCTGGTCAGGCCGCCCGACGAGTCCTTGGACCCGGGGCTGATGGGCGTCGGGTCGACGGTGGACCCGGTCGACGAGGCGGCCGAGGCGGCCGATGAGGCCTCGCGCGTCGTGGTGATGACGACGACGCTGGTGGCCGTGCTGTCCGCCTGGGTGGTGGTGAAGACGTCGGTGGTGGACGACGGCCTGGCCACCGTCGACGTAGCGTCGTCTGTGGTGGTGGAGTCTTCGGTCGTCGACGACGGCTCGGTGGCTATCGAGGTGGGATCCTCGGTGGTCGAGGTGGCGGGGTCCGTCGTCGATGTCGGCACCTCCGTCGTCGACGTCGGCTGCTCGGTGGTCGGGTCTGTGGATGTGGGCTGGTCCGTCGTCGCGACGTCTGTGGTCGACGTGGCAGCGTCGTCCGTGGTGGTGGTGGTGGTGGGCTGGTCCGTCGTTATCGCGGCACCGTCCGTCGTCGTCGTCGTCGGGTCCGTCGACGTCTCGCCTGCCGTGCTGCCAGGCAGCGTGACGGTGGGAGCCGTCGAGGTGGCGGGCGACTCTCCCGGGGTGGAAGCCATGACAGCGTCGGCGGTCAGCTGCGTCTTTTCTTGCTTCTCCTTTTTCTTCTTTCTGTGTACCGTGTGCACCGTCACCTCTCTCTGTAGGTTGGAGGTCGTCAGTAGGAGCACAGCGACGCGCGCGGTGGAGAGTGTGTGTGTGGGACAGAGGAGGAGATTACCTTGTCACACAAAGGAGGAAGAAGAATAGACGGAAAGGTTTGACGAAAAAAGTCTCCCCGGGACGAGAGAGAGAGGAGAGGGCCTTTCCGCAAGCCGTCGTTGTTGGATGCAAAACGGTTGTTTGAGCTATTTGGGAGGTGGCGTGAAGGGGAACAAGGGAAGAAAAAAATAAGAGTGAGAGAGAGAGGGAGAGAGAGAGAGAGGGAGAGAGGAAGTGTGAAGGTGGTCGGTAACTGGAACGGGCCTGTTTGGGGCGTTTGGTGCTTGGGTTTGGGCGTCAAGTGCTGGGGTGAGTGCTGGAGACCAGCTGAGCTTGGGGAACTATTACTGTACCCGGCCTGTACCTGTGGGCGGGTACGTACGAGAGTAATACTCCGTAGACTACCCGTAGTCAGCCCACCAGCAGTGGTGGTCCGGTGGATGGAGGCCCGGCAAGTTTATTAGCAGGCTTAGCAGGTTTAGCAGGCTTAGCAGGTTTATTAGCAGGCTTATTAGCAGGTCTAGCAGGTATTGTATTCGCTGTACGGAGTCTTACTCGTATTGCCTATTACTGGAGTGCTACACCCCCCTCCCAATCGTGCTCCATACTCTGGCCTCCACGGACCACAGGTACTGCATCTCTAGTAGTAGGCTCATTTCCCCCGGACACTTCCGATCCATTCGCTGGTAGGTTCGCTATTATTTACGACGAGTAAGTAGTGCTCGTTCTCCTGCTTGTTCGTCGGTCTGCTTGTAGCTTCCCGCGTGTTGCTCTGCCTGTTGCTCTGCCTGTTGCCCTGCATGTCTGATTACACCTGTGGGTGCAGCCGGGGCTCTGGTTTTGCCCTGACGCTGTCTCATGTTCTTGTCAGAAACATCAATGGGAAGAGAGGAGGCTCGTTGGTCAGGGCCAATCCCAATCATTTGCCTCTTTACGAACATGCACATCCGACTCGTACACGCTTACCTGGAATGGATCCGACCCGCCACGGGGGAGTACGGGTATATGTACTCCTCTCTCTCTCTCTCTCTCTCTCTCTCTCTCTCTCTCTCTCTCCCCCTCTGTGTGTGTGTGTGTGCGTGTGCGTGTGCGGAGTACACATATACGAGTACTGTTATCTCCTGTTTCTCGTATTCTTACGACCAGCTGTATACCGCTGTATATGTACCAATACTAACTAGTTGAGATCCGACAATCGGTCGTTTTGCCATTTGACGCCATTCGATAGATTGGTCCACTCTATTTGATTAGCCGCTGTAGTCAGCGCCTTGGTAGGCACCAGCAAGTCAGTATTATTACTACATGTACTATCACCACTACCACTACCGCTACTGCTACATAATATATTATACTTTACAAGCCCCCGTACGGAGCAATTGTTTTTTTTTCCTTTGTATGACGGCCGCGGGAGTTTCAGTGTGTGTGTGTGTGTGTGTGTGTGTGTGTGTGCGTGTGCTGCTGCTGGCCTCCTATTATCTATTAATAATACTACATACGGAGTAGTAGTAGTAGTAGTAGTAGTAGTAAATTGCTGGTCAAGCCTCGTATGGCGCTCACTCATATGGCCCACGGGACAGTCCATTAGCCACATACCAGTCATCATCGTGGCTGTGCAGACCGCGTATGTATGCATCTGTGTGCGTCTCCAACAGAGCCCTATCTGGGTCATATCCCTCACCCAGGCACAGACGAAGAACAGAAGATTGCAAAGAACGGGAAACAAGGAAGAAGAAAAGTGAAGAAAAGGTGAAGATAATAAATGTAAATGAGAATAAAATAAATAGAATAAAATAAAAACAAAACAAGGCACCGCCAATGGGCAGTTCGCCTCTACGTATACTCCATAGACTTTGAATCAAACAGAAATAGACGTCAGCCAATTGTTCTGTTCAAGATACGAACAATGGCATACGCGATGGCCCATGTGACGACTAGTAGCAGGTAATATCACAGTAGCACTGACTAGGTACGAGCAATGCTGGACAGTGATGGTGTTATATGTGTACATGTAGGATTATGTGCATAATGTACATGGAGTAATTATGCATATATGTACAGAGTATTCTGTATTATACGTGCACCATCTACGAGTATGCAACAACACAGTACTCTCATATCTCACCGTACAGGCATAATTCGATCCTGACACCGGATGACGATCCCGTTTCTCACAAAATCACTCATCATCCCTCATCATCCACTCCTGCTCAGATCACTGATGCTCCTGGAGTATTATCATAGGTAGAATGCCAATTGATCAGATCAGCTCAGAGGCCACATCGCAATAAACAAACAAGAGCAAAAACAAACAAAAAAAAAACAAAAAACAAACAAGAGAAAGGCGCGTCGCATTCCCGTCTTCAAACTAGCCTTTTAGTGCCCTTAGACATGCAGTAGCATTCCATTAGACCAAAGTCTCTTGTTAAAAACAATACCAAGTCCCTAACCGGGCCCTCCCCCCACCAACACACACAACTTTGCTCACGACGATACATGTACAGCAGACGCTAGAGAGGATAGCAATCTGAATCCATGTCTGTCGAGACTTCTCCTTCTAAATTATCTGTGTGCAGAACCACCGAGGGAGAGAGAACTGTTCAAAAGACATGTATGCGTCATCCTCTTCTCAAATTGGGGCCAACTTGCACCAGAAAGAGACAAGAGAATCTCGCCGAGAGAACAGACAAGATACACGTTTGAAAGAGACAGGGAAATACACACACACACACACACACACACACACACGTGTCATATATCCAAATAATTACTCCCTTAGAATAGAAAAAAAATTGAACAAGAGGGGAAGACGGCCATGTGCTGGTTAACAAGACGAAGAGGCCACGACATAGTAAAAAAGAACAAAAAAAAAGAACAAAAAAAGACCTTTCCCAGAAAAAGATAATTTTTTAAACAATGCTATGCCTGTGCAATTATAAGATCAAGAAACGAATTCGACTGCTACCTTCTTGATTTCACTCCAGAGACGCTGACGATGAGAGAAACAAAACAAAACCCCCATTCCTCTTTCCGAGTCAGGAGAGAGAGAACTACTGTCCCATCCTCATGCCCCATTGAGGCTTCAACTCTGCCGACATGGCCTGAGGAGTGAAGACGGCGTCGCCCGGAAGACGGCTGACGCGTCCGGCTCCATTGCGAACGGCGCTCTGGGCAGCTGCCGATATGGCACTCCTGTTGCTCCTGATGCTGCCCGCGTCGCTGGCGTTGTCGGCGTTCCCGAACTTCTTGGGAGGGAGGAAGTCGAGTCCGGTAAAGGTTGATGACTTGCGCATCATGTGACTATTTTCCTGTCAGCTGAGGGAACTCCATGTCCGCCGCTTCATTTCCTTCAACGGTCAATCTAGCAAGGGGGGGGGAGGGGGGACGTACGGGCTGGGAAGGGCATTAAGTTCGTCATAGGTCGTAACGAGGGGAGATGCGGCCGGCACCGAGGGAGAGTACGGTCGCCTCTCACCCATAGGGCTCTGGGAACGTCCGCCAGCCCTGTTACCAAACGACTCGGGAGGAGCAAAGTCGGTGGCGTTGAAGATGGCAAACGAGTCATCGCCGAGCTTGGACGGCGTCGGCAGAGTGCTGAGCGGAGCCGGAGGCGGCATCATCTTCTTGGGAGCGGCACGGCCGGGCCTGGCGGACGCCGACGAGTCCGGACGAGGTCCGAGGGACGACGCAGCGCGGCCGCCAAACGAGGAACCCGCGCGGGGGCGCATGCCGCTCATCGAGCCGTGGGGTCCGTGAGGACCGCCGGGTCCGCCGGGGCCACGAGGTCCGGGTCCGCGGGGTCCAGGTCCGGGGGGTCCGCGGCGGTTGGTGGGGGGAGGCGTCATGGCACGGCGGTGGACCGGCTGGGCGCCGGGCATGACGAAGGCGTTGCTGTCTGGGTCGAAGTAGGTGGCGTCGCCGAGGTACTGCTGGTCGTAGTCCTCGTAGTACTGGGCGCCGCCGGCAGCGTACTCGGACGGCACGCTGGGCATGGGAGGGGCCTGGGCGGTGGTGTCCTCGAAATACTCCTTGTAAAAGGAACGGATACGGTTGGCCCTGTACTCGGGGTCCTCGGAGTCCGTCACGTCGCTGGGGGGCAGCGGCCTCAAGCCGACCGAGATCCTCCTGTTGTCCTTCTGAGGGACACCGAGACCCTCGGTCTGACGGGCAGCGGGCTCTTCCGCAGCGGCGCCAAAGTTTGGCCCGTCGTAGTGCTCGCTCGCGTGGACCTGAGGCGAAGCGAAGGCCTGGCCGCCATCCTTGGACGAGTGGTTGTCCGACACGGCCTGACCGGGCAGGGGCTGGCCGTGGTTGCCGTGGGAGAAGGTCAGGTCGTCCATGTCAGGTGCCGAGTGCGGCAGGTCCAGGCCAAGGCCCAGTCCGCTAGGGGCCCTGTCCCGGGGCCCATCTCCGGCCTGGGCGACACCGATGCTGCCCTGGTCCATCTCGGGAAGGTTGACCTGGGGAGGAGCGCTGGGCACCCTGTCGACGGGGCTCTTGGGCATGGCGGCGGGAGGCTCCTGGACGTACGGCATATTGGCACCGGCATAGGCGGGGGCCTCGTCGGGGTAGGAGATGGCGCCGAGCTCGGGAATCACAGACTTCGCAGGAGACGATTCAAGCTCGGGAGTGCCAGAGGCTTGGTAGGCGGGGGCAGGCATGCTGGGCGGAGGTGTGGCAAAGGGATCCCTCCTGTCGTTCTTCTCGTTGGGGTAGGGAGACACGTCGCCGTTGTTGGAGGGAGGAGGCCTGGGGAAAGAGCCCTGGCGGCCGCGCGGGCCTGACCGGCCGGTCATGACCGAGGCACGCTTGCTGGAGCCGCCAAAGATGGAGGGGTCCCTGTTGAAGGATCGGATGGAGCCGCTCTCGCTGTTGACGATGCGGTAGGGGTCGTACTCGTGGCCTCGGGTCAGGGTGTGGACCGAGTCGTGGGAGCCCTGGACGTTGGGGGGCAGGAGGTAGGGCGATTCGAGGTTCATGTCCATGGAGAGCTGGCTGGTCTTGTGGGTGGGCTTCTCGCCGTTGATGAGCATGTTGGGACGTGTCTTGTTCTTCTTGCCAACGGGTATGGCCGACTCGTCGATTCCGAAGTCGAGGTCGCGGTGCAGATCGGCCGAATCTTCCAACCTCTGCCTCTTGACATTCCTCCGATGCAGATAGAAGAGGACGACGACGGCGACCGCACAGGGGAGCGAGACGCCGAGGGCAATAGCCAGGGTGGAGGAGCCGACCGTGCTGCTGGGCTTCTCATCGGTGATGCCAGCCCTAGCGACAATGGAGGCAACATGGCGGAGGTCTAGCCCCCGGTGCAGACCCGGCGACTCTTCGCTGGAAGGCTGAATGGCAACCATGATTTCTGTCCCTCTTCCTTTTCGCTGATGATGCGACTTCTATCGGTGGCGGCGCGAAAGCAGCAGCGTTTCCTCCTTGTGCAGTAAAAGTTCCGTTGTTGTGTTTAGAGACCGAAAACAAGTGAGCAAGGCGTAGCCATGGAATTCAAAAATGCGATGTATGCAACTCTCAGAAACAGCAGGAGCATAGAAGAAGGCAGGCATGGACGTTATCGCGAGCCTTGTCGAATCGTATGGACCAAGAATGGGAAAGATGGAGAGACAGAGCCACGGAAAGTTCGGTTTGGTCTGACAGTCTAAGTCGAGTGAGGGATGTTCTTCTTGAGATGGGACGATATGAAGCCGTGGAAGATGACGAGATAAATGAACGACTTTCGGTTGTGCCTATACACATACACACAATACGCGCAGGGATGGTGACGATTTGCAAAGGAGTGGGAGAGAGTAAGTAGAGGTCGAGACAGAAGCAGAACAACCGACAACTTGATAGATAAAAGAGTGTGGCAGAGGCCTGTACTGGCAGGAACCTCTGAAAGGAAAACGAAGGACGAAACCACAAGGCAAACGCAAAGGCCCTCGACGTCGGTTCAAAGGAAGGTCAGAAGCCGGCGGAGTGGTGGAAAAGAAGAAAGGAAGGAAGGACAGGAAGAGGAGGCTACGGAGTACAAGAAAGAGAGAAAGAGAGAGAGAGAGAGATACGAAATAGAGAGGGAGGGATGATGAAAAAGAGTGGGGAAACTCAGCGTCAGACGCGGTTGGGATTGGATGTGGTCACCGTTCTAGGGGCCGGGGGTAATGCAGGTACGTATCTACGACGTCGGACCTCTCGCTCTCTCTCTCTCTCGCTCTCTCTCTATCTATCCGTTTAGTACGGAGCGGTACGTACCCGTCCTCTAATTTATTATTACTGGGAGTGCGAGAAGAAGGTGAAGAGCAGAGGGCAGCGTCTCGAGATTGATGACTTGTGGGTCTCTGTCCCTTCTGCGCGCCCCCTCCCCCCCTTGGGCTTGGGAGAGACTATTTATTATCTGTTGCACTTGCATGTAATCCCAGCGGACCGAGCAGGAAGGAAAAAAAACAAAGAGGAGGCAGAGGCAGGCGGAGAGGAGAGGGCCTGAGGGGAGGGCCGGAGAGTGGACAGAGCCTTGCATGAGGACTGTGTTTTATCGCGTGGGTAATACCTGAGAAGGGGCGAGGGGGGTGAGATGGGATGGGGCTCATGGGGGAGGACGAGAGGCGGGAGGGAGGCAGGAGGAGTGCGAGCAGTACGAGCACCTGAGGGGGAGGACCTGAGAGGGGAAGACCTGAGAGGGGGAGAAGACCTGAGAGGGGAAGACCTGAGAGGGGAAGACCTGAGGAGGGAACCAAGAACCTGAAAAGCGCCGGACCCCATCAGAGAAGTCAAAGACTCAGAAGCCAAGAAAATGCGTGCCGCCTCACCATAGGAATTGGCTGGGATCGCCTTCTAGACTGTTGATATGAACAGGGGTGGTTTTGTGGGCTCGAGCCGAGAATAAAGGGGAGGGGGGGAGGAGGAGGTGAGCGACCAGCCAGAAGGTCTCCATGGTGAAAGCAGGGTTTGTTGATGGAAATTAAAAGTACGGAGTACGGAGTACAGTATCAGAGGTATTATTACTCTACATGTACTCCGTACTCCGTACGAGTATCGATACAGAGTTGGAGGGCAGAAACGGTGAGGCCGACGTTGAATTGCACGTTTTATTACTGTACGATAAGTTAGTTAGCCGTACGTGCACGAGTACAGATTATACATACGGTCTATGATTATCAGCTCTTAAATGACCCTTGTGTCGTCATCAACCACCACCACCACACCACGCACTCACACATTGTTCTGTTCAATTGCCGCCGATGATACATGGTGGCGGAACAAGACAAGAAGGAAAGGAGGCGCGTATGCTATTCTTGTCTACCTTGAACGTCACTGGCAAGACAAACAGCAAAGAGCCAGCTAAGCTTTTTAGTCTCGGTGGCGGACTCGGTGGAGACCCTGACGCAGGAACGCGGGACAATGTGCGACCTGCCTGTATCTGGTCGTAGTGCTTGCTCTCTCGCCTCTACTCTGTACCGCTAGTATTGCCTATAGTTAGTTCCTAGATGAGTAGCAGTATTATCAGCAGGCGTAAAATTGCCAAGCTGTAAAAGAAGAAGGGCCCCGTACATGTCGAAGAATACGGAACATTACTCCGAGGCCTAGCAGCCAATACCGTGGTAGATATCCGTAGTAGCATTACGACGACATACCGCTATATCCACCAGTAGCATTCATAAGAGCGAGTACGTACTCTTGCATAAAGTGCAGCATCTCCGTGATAATAACACGACATGAATACGGGTTGCAACACATGTATCGTCAAAAGCAACAGTCCTTCAGCGATGGATCCGTCAGTCATCAGTACGATGCCTGCATCGCTCCGTACCTTGCTCGACGAGCGCGCCACTCCTCTTCTCCCTCTGCCACACAGACACACACACGCACGCACACACATACGAGCTACGCATGCACCAGTTCAGACAAGAGAGAGAGAGAGAGAAGGAAGGAAGAAGAAGAAGAAGAAGAAGAGAGGCTCGTGTGAGCCCCGCACCTCGTCTCTTACCCCTGACGCTAGTCCAGAAGGGTATTAGACGGGTGCATGTTCCGGTTGACCCACACGCCTTGAACCGGCTTGCCTCCCACCTGTACAGATTACTCGTACTCCGTACCTGCTGTACGATTAGGCTATAATAGCCTGTAGGGACGCAGGGAGTGGTGCAGTGATATTATCATACCACAGGGTACGAGCAGCATTACATATCGATACCTATACGCGCTGCCCTTCAGGCTTCTGACCTCTGCCCAGCGCTCTCTGTGAGACCAACCTTCCAGCCTGCCCTGAGCGCTAGACACTGCCCGGAACACTGAAGAGTACTCCGTGCTAGCTCCATAGTGAGGGAGCATCAGCATCGACGCACAGCACCAGTACGAGTACAGATTATATGCTCGTATATATGTGTACGGAGTATGGAGTACAGGTGACCCGTAATGCATCTCTCCGTCTCCATCTGCTGGTCTTCCTTCCCGGTTTCCGGCCGAATGCCAAGTCATCGGTGTACGGCATGAATCGACGTAAGAATGAGCCCCAAAAATCTCTCCAAATATTCGTTGAATTCTTCAAGCTTCGCCGGGATGGAAGAAGAGGGCAGCCAACGTACTGGTACAGGGCAATAGATTACAGATTAGTAATACAGGTTTCCCCTCATACTCTTTGCCGCCGCAGTACTAGTAGGTATCACTATCGACGACCTGCTAATACTACTGGTAAACAAGTACGGAGTATTGGTGCTGGCTTCATCAACACTAATCTGTGCTGTAGCAGCATCCCCGTCATGCTATTCGAGTGCACGAGCACCACGCTATTTTCGATCGTCATCTTACGCTAATCATGTCGGACGACGCCTACGAGTACGTACGCACTACCAAGTACGAAGCAATACGCACATGAGCAATCTTACCACTACCTGTCGGATATCCACCCTTGTTAAAGTCCGCAACCGCGCAGGGTAATGGGTACCTGTCAATCACCCTCCTCACCCATCATACAGAGCGTACAGGTACGGCGGCATCGATGCTCCGAGGGAGGAGGCAAGGAAAGGGTATTCATGCGACAGACGACTCCCCTCCTCACACCCGTCAGGCAATACTCCGTATTGACCGATACAGGATTATTCGAAACGCGCTGCCGTGCATGGCGTGTCTCCAAGAGCTCTCTCTCCTTCTCGGCAAGCAGAGTTCTCCCTTTCATGCTTACTACTACCAGTCCTTGGTAATGACCGACAAAACAAAACATGTACCCGTACGCAAAGAAAAGAAAGATCTGAGGGGGGAGAGAAGGAGGAAAGCAAGGAAGAGAGAGGAAGATCAGACTCAGACGAGTCATACGGGTGTGATGGTAAGACAGCTGGGGATCCATCTCTGGAATTACCGCCACGTCTGAGAGTCTTCGACTGAGACACACACCTGTTCCGACAGCTCTTCCGATGATGAGGACGGCAGCATTTACGCCCAGGACTGACGACCGCAACGAATACCTCCGTTTAATATTGTCGAGATGCTACTGTTACATGTATCGCTCCATATTGCCACGACCGTCATTCTAATCCCAAAGGTGAACACGTCAGATCTCAGCTGCTATTATGACTTCCACCCCCCCCCCCCCCCCCCAATATCTTCTAGTTTGCCCTCTAAGAGGCTAGTCATTCCCAGCCAAGAATAGCAGTCTAGCAGAGTAGTGGTAGTGGTAGTGGAAGTAGGTATAATGTAATCTGTATAAGAGTAGTGATAGTAATGGTGGTATTATTAGAACGTACGAGTACAGAGAGGTGCGAGTCACAATCATCTGCCCGTGCCACTACCCGAAATTTGGTAGAACTCGGGGGCATACTCTACCAACCAGCTCTGTTCAATCTTGCTCAGGTCCCTGATGAAGGTCTTATCGCCCGTCTCCATGACTTCGTGGAAAATGACCCAGTCGGCCTTGCGGTTGAACATGAGGGAGCTTGGGTGGGCGTGCAGCACCACGCTCGTACTGTCGTCGCCCCCTCCTCCCGCCACACACCGAAACGTGCCGTCAGCTTGCATCCGCGCCGCGTGCGCAAAGTATCCCGCAGTAAGACATCGTCTTATCTGCTCCGCCTTGTGAGCTGGGCTATTGTCGTTCTTATTGTTGCTGTTGTTGCCGTCGCCGTTCTTGCTGCCGTTCTCCCTTGATGGTAGTAGATTGGCCTGTTGATGATCGTGTCTGACTGCGACTGCGGATCCGGCTCCCACGTCGGTGCCGGGAAGCAGCTTGAAGCGTTCCAGGTACCGTCTTAGCTGGGCTCGTACGCTGACGGCCCGCATCATGGACTTGTAGTTGAGGTTGTTATCGTGACAGAACTTGCGCTCCTTCTTGCCCCTCGTGACGAATGCCTGATAGGCGTTGAGCAGGGTCAGGTGGTCGCCCTCCTCGACGGCGAACCGGCGCCGCGACGTCTCCATGTCGGAGCGCCCGCCATCGCTGTCGTGCTGGAACCAGACGCTGCCGCTGCCGCTGTCGAGGCTCGTCATGGCCGCGATCGTGAGCATCTCCTCCGTGCACCCGAACTCCGGTGCCGACAGGAGCGTCTTGGCCATCATAGGCTCCACCGCCACCTCGGCCATGCGCGCCCCCAGCGGCCGGGTCAGCTTGGCGTACTCGTCCAGCGCGCCCAGCGCGTACAGCAGCTCCAGCCCGCGCGACATGAGCTCCGCCGGCGGCGGCGACAGGAAGTCGAACCGCGCGACATTGTCTATCCCCAGCGCCTTGAGCTGAAGGATCACGGGCGCGAGGTTCGACCGCTGCATCTCCGGAATGCTGGCCTCGGGCAGACTCGACCGGTACCCCCCTTCTTCCGTGTAGAGCCTGAAACACTTACCTGGCCTGGTGCGCCCGGCTCGCCCCGCACGCTGCGCGGCCGACGCCTTGGACACGGGCGTCACCGTCAGCGTCTCCATCCCCGTGCGCGGGCTGTACGCCCTCTGCTTGACGAAGCCGCAGTCGATGACGTAGACGATGCCATCGATCGTTACCGACGCCTCGGCTATGTTTGTCGAGAAGACCACCTTGCGCGTGCCCGGCGGCGTCTTGTCGAAGACGTACATCTGCTGCTCGGTCGTCAGGCCCGCGTACAGCGGCAGGGCCAGCAGCGGCTCCCGCGTAGACGATGTACTAGACGTTGCCTGACGCTCCGACACGGCCTGGATGGCATCGTCGATCTCCTCCCGTCCCGTGAGGAACACGAGGATGTCGCCGGGTCCCTCCTGGCTGTGTATGTTGATGACGGTGTCGATGGCTTTCTCCACGTAGTCCTCCGCCGGCGATTCGAGGTACAGTATGTCTATGGGGAACGTCCTCCCCTCCAGGCTGACAATGGTGCCAGTCTTCTTCTCCTGCCTCTGTGATTCATCCCCCCCGTCCTTGCTGCCGTCGACCTCCTTCTCGTCGCTGCCGCTGCCAGTAGACGTAAAAAAACTGAGAAACTCCTCGGCCTGCAGCGTCGCGCTGCTGATGATTATGCGCAGCTCCGGTCGCTTCTTACGGATCTTCTTGAGCAGGCCCAGCAGAATGTCCGTGCTGATGGACCGCTCGTGCGCCTCATCGACCATGATGACAGAATACCGGGTCAGCAGAGGGTCGACCAGCGCCTCTCGGATGAGGAGGCCGTCTGTGAGGAATTTGATCCGCGTCGATGGTGATGTCACATCTTCGAAGCGTATCGAGTAGCCCACTTCCTTGCCGACCTCACATCCGACTTCTTCTGCGACGCGGACTGCCACTGTTGTCGCTGCCACCCGACGAGGCTGCGCGTCCTCTCGTCAGCGTTGTCCTTCCTTGTTCCTTCAAATAGGCCGGTGGTTTTTAAAAAAAAAAAAAAAATAGAGAGAGAGATAGAGCAGTACCTACCTGCGTGATGCCTATGAGCTTCCCATCGGAACACCAGCCCGCCTTCTCAAGAAACTGGGGGATCTGAGTCGTTTTGCCTGACCCCGTCTGGCCAATCACAATAGTGACGGGAAACTCCTCGATGACGTATAAGAGACTCTCTCGATGTTTGGCAATAGGCAAGAGAGCTGCCGGCTTGTGTAGTGCCGGTATAAAAGTTGAGTCAAGGTCAGCCATGGCGTTGGATGAGAAATAAGATCTGAAAGAAAACCGACTTTTGTGACTTTTTGAGAGATGGTTGGAGGAAGAGCTAAGAGTCGAATAACAACAATGACATACAAAATCCAGGCCAAACAACATCTCAGCCTCAGTCGGATTTCCGATATTTAATCATCATAATAACCACACTTGTCTATAGAGAAACAGATACATTCGTATTTTTCACCTTAATCCAGGATGGAAGGTATCGGCCTGGTTTTCACGGTAGAGTGCAGGGTATTGCTACGACGTTGAAATAGAGGAGTAGTCATGTGTGGCGAGTGGCGCCACTACAAGGACCGTGGCTGAGCCATTTCATGCTCTCCAGCTTGTAACGTGTGTACGTGGGGAACGTCATGAGGTTAGTCGTGGCTGAAGCACCCTAAAACTAATCTACCCCCCCTCGTCTTGGAGATGGATCAGTACCAGAAGGCACAAGCTAGATGTCAACTTGCCACCATCATCTCCCTCCTGCAGACCAGACCATCTATATTAACGGAGTGTAATCCGTACATAAAAGAGACACGCGGCGCCTCACAATACACGTAACCCCACCCCACCCGGAATAAAGAGTTACCAACCATGGCCGGCTCGGTTGAAACGGTGAGAGCCAGCCCACCTTAGCTACCCTCGCAGACCGCACATCAGAGAGATGGGCATGGACCCGCCAGAGCTCTCTTGCTTCGAATCCTTGTTTGCTGACAACTAGGTCAAAACGTTGCCCGACCACCACCCCTTATATAGCCAACAAAGGTCACGGCAGACAGCGGCGCTGAATCGCCCACGACTGCCAGACCGTTCGAAATGGATGACGATGATGTCCAGGAGACCAGCGTGATTGGCAGTGGCTCCGAGGCCGCCGAGGCTACTGCTCCTGCTTCCGCTCCTGCTCCCGCCGCTGCCGCCGCCGCCAACGCGACAACGTCGACGACGGCTACGACTCCGCCTGCGGCCTCTGCTGGCCCAGCCGCTGCCGCTACGGCCACGTCGCCTAAGCCAGCGTCCATCGAGGCCGGTGACGATGAGGTGCCCCCTTCCAAGCCCCCCCGGCCACCGACCGAGGCTCAGAAGAACGAGATGATACTCAAGGAGGCCTTTCCCGGCGTGGACGCGCCCGTCATCAAGGCTGTCATATCTGCCAGCGGGGGTAACGTGGAGCGTGCCTTCAATGCCCTTCTCCGTATGCCTTACACGTTCTCCAGGCGCACACGTATATAGCAGCTGACACGAGACCTGCTCTCTCCCATCTAGAAATGACCGACCCCGAGGCAGCCAACAATGAGCCCCAGCAGGAGCAAACAGACGTGCCGCCGCCGCGCCCTCCCCGCCCCCAGGGACGTGCGGAAATGTCCCAGCTCGAGGCCGACGAACTGTATGCGCGCCAGCTGGCAGAGCAGTACGACAACCAGGCGGGCGCGTACGAGGCGCGCACGGCAGCGGCGAACCAGCGGCACCGTGAGGGCGTGCGAGCGGGCCACCGGCGTCAGGCGTCCAGCTACGACGACGACGGCGACAGGGAGTACAGCTTCATCGAGGACGAGCTCCCCGTCATTCGGGACCAGCTCCGTCAGGGTTTCGTCGAGACGCAGACAAAGGTTAACGGGTGGATCAGCACGCTGAAGAAGCGTATCGAGGAGTCGTTTGACGAGAGCGAGGACCCGCACCACCAGCAGGAGCACGGGCAGCAGGGGAGGTACCGCCACGGCGGGGAGCCATCCAACAGGAGGAGCGGAGACTATGATGCCGATCCGCAGGTATTGGGGGATGACTTTGCGGGTATACGCCTGTCGGCTGATGGGAGTGAGTTTATTGCCCTTCCCATTCTCTTCTTCCACATTCAGCCCTTCCTGCCTCCCAGATCATGAGTGGGTGAGGATGCTGACCGAGCGAGCGATAGCCCCCGTAAATCGCACTTTCCAGACAGGACCGTACCGCCACCCGTCGACATCGCCCCGGTCCAACTCGGGACGCAGGGTCGGATTCAAGGACGAGCCCGAGGAAATCAACATGTATGAGAGGTCGCCGCCCGTACCGCCCAAGGACTCTTCGGCCACGGCGGGCGGCGCCAAGGCGAGCAAGTGGCAGCCTCTGTCGTCGGTCGAGCCCCACCCCATTGGGGATAACGACCCTTTCAGCCTGGGCGACAGTGACGACGAAAAGGACAACAGCACTACCACCAAGGACGCCGCGACCAAGGACGTCAGCAGCGCGGCTGCCAAGGATTCGGATAACATCGAGAGGCTGAAGAAGGCCGCTGCCGAGGCCATGTCGGACAATCTCGTTGACGATGGCGACAAGACCAAGGCCAAGACGGACAACTAGGGACGAGGGAGGGAGGGAAACAAGCAAATTTCCCATGTTACGATGAACTCGTTTCCGGCTGAAGGAGACGAGAGAGGGAGCGAGAGAGCGATGCGACTTGGCGTCTCACTACCTGTTCTTTTCCAATCTGGTCATGTCAAGTTTGCTCATTGTGTAGTATATCCCGAGTTTGTTTTCCATTGGCGTTGAAATCATATATACCAGTTTGTCAAGCACAGATGTCGAGTATGAATGCCAAGTACGAGTGTCGTCGGGTACCTATCACTACGAGCAATGGAGCTGTCGAAGAAGAGCTGTAAGTCGGATGTCGGGCTGTTCCCTGTCCGGTACGACCTCCGCCCGCCTCTGGGGCATGCATGGATATGTAAAAAAAAAAAGAAAAAAAAAAGAGGGACGGACCCAATCAGGTCATGCTATTATTGCTGGATAGTATGCAGGTGAAGCTGATCCAGACAGCCTCATGATGTCCCGGGCACAGACTACTGGGTCCACGAGAGAGGGAGAAGGTACGGAAGGGAGTACGGTGATGTTCCATATATCTCTTAGTGACGGAGGAGGGAGGGGCGGAACGGGCACAGACATGATGCCAAAGTTTTCCGGTGGTCCTACCCAGTAGTACGTGTAGTATTCACGCTGCAGATGGGGGAGAAGTCGATGACCTGCCTGATCATACAACAAGTCGATAGAGCTCGGGTGAGATGATTGTGAACATGAGAAGGGAGCATGAGGGGTCTACCATATAAACTGGGGATTGGTCCAGGATGACATAGGACAGAGTCGTCCTATCGAGAGAGCACGGGATGGAACGGAGCATGACGATTGGCAAGTTGGGTGGGGGGAGGGGGGAGGGTTGGAGCGTTCGGCAATAACTACAGAGTACATGTGCGGAGAAGGGTATCATTACAAGTTGGTGCGTCGCGTCTTCTATTATTATTATATGTTCTATTATATATATATGTATGTATATATATATATATATACGTACTTGCAATGATATTTCTCCTTCTAGTTCTGGGCGTCTTCTAGGGGATTCTATGGATCACATCTGTGCGAGGAATACATGCATTACTCGTGATGAATGATGATGACCTTGGATGTATAATGGGTAACGATGCGATGCGATGGATTTGGGTGCTGTGAGTAGCAGTGTTAGCATCCATGGCTTTGATGGCGGTCATCGGTTAATCAACGGGTCAATCAACGGAGGACACGCTCCTCGGGTACTACAGCGCACATTGCGGCCACTGTACAGGTAGAGAGAGCCCAGGTATGGACATCTGTAATACTGTACAGATTACAGATTAATCTGTAGGGGAAAACAAGATGACATCTGAAAATCAGACGCAACCACATGGCTGATAGTCACGACGCACTCGGCTGTACTCAGTAGAGTGGCTTGTTCTAGATTATACGCCGTCTTCCTATAAGAAGATTTTCCTGTCAGCCATGAGTCCCGACAATCAAAGCTACTACCACTCAGTAGCTACTTGTCAGTCTGATCATTACGGCTACTAGTGAACCGTAGTCACGACAAGAGCCGTCCCTCCCCCGGTCTAGCTCTGCCCCTCTCCTCCCTCTCTCCCTCTGCCTCTCTCTCTATATCCCCCTCCACTATCGAGACCCTCTCTCTGAGAGGGACGTTTGTTCTGCCGTTTGCTTCGTAACCGCCTTCTCCTATCCCTTCCCTCTCTCTCCTTTCCCTCTCTCTCTTTCCTTCCGTCTCTCATGCCCCCCCACTTTCCCTAGTGCTGCTCCCATCGTCTTCTCCTTCTTTTCCCTTTCCATCATCTTCTTTCCCATCGAGTCGCGGGGCTTTCCATCTCTCTTCCCCTCCCCCGCGGATCTAAACCTCGTGCGTGTGTGTGCGCGTGTATGCTTTGCTGCCGACTTCCTTCTTCTCTGCCGCTGTTACCACGACACCACACTCTCCCTCTCTATCTTTTTCATCAATTACACCCACGTGCGAGCAGCTGATTGTCTTGGGGGCTTACCGTGTGCGCGCACGCAACTGGCAACCCGCTCACCCGACACGAACGAGGCATCATCTCATCCTCCCACGGAGTCTGGTCGATACTGAGTCTCTGTATATCAACCGCCACCACTACCACTTACCACCACCACACAGTATCACCCCTCCTACCTTGAGCTTTGACGCACATCTGCAAGGAGAAAGAATTGAAGCAGAAGAAGAAACGCACAGACGCTAGACCGGGCCTGTGGTCAGGTCACCCCCCTGCCTTTTTGTACAGGCACGTGTTCTGCTGCCAAATACTACTCCCCCCCTCCCCCCCCTTTGCTTTGCTTTTCTCGGCGGGGCGCAACTTATTTCTTGCCATGACGCATTGTCCCGAGGCCCTGAAACTTTATACAGCTTGAGAAGGAAGGAAAACCTGTAGAGAGAGAGAGACAGAGAGAGAGACAGAGAGAGAGAGAGACAGACAGAGAGAGAGAGAGAGAGAGAGAGAGAGAGAGAGAGAGAGAGAGACACCAATACCCGACGCCATCTCTCCTCCTTCCTCCCTCCCGCCCCCGTCCTTCTATCCATCTCCCTCTCATAGCTCTCACCCCGCCTTCGAACTCCTCTCCGATAGCCTGGCCTAGCTCATTTTCTTCACTGCTGAGCCCGTCCGAACCATCGACACGGCTCAGCTGCCATCATGTACGTGGACCGGTACCAGCCTGCCTCGTCATCCTTCTCGATTCTGACCTCTCGCCGCCCCGCGCTTTTAGGAAGTTCGGCAAGCAGATACAGAAGCGCCAGCTCGAGGTTCCCGAGTATGCGGCAAGCTTTGTCAACTACAAGGCTCTGAAGAAGGTGAGTGGTCCTCTGCTCTCCCTTCTCGGCTCTCCCCTTCCGGGCATTCTCTTCTGGTTCCCACCTGGGAGCTGTCTCGACACCAGGCTTCCTCCTCACCGTACTGCGTCTCTGTGTAGTCTGTGTTGCTGACCAAATGTCTTTTACCTCCCCCCCCCCTCCAGCTCATCAAGAAGCTCTCAGCCACTCCGATCCTCGGCGCGCAGAATGGCTTCGGCCTCGCGACTGCGCCTGCAGACTCGCAGGCTGCCTTGCAGGCCAACAAGGCCACCTTTTTCTTCCAGCTGGTACGCGCCTACGTATCCGTATCCCGATGGAAGATACCCTCCCTAGGGCATTATCCACCGCCGATCGATCCGACTGACCCTGGTTGATTAGGAACGTGAACTCGACAAGGTGAATGCTTTCTACCTCCAGAAGGAGGCCGAGGTAAGTCATTCCCCATCGGGTCGAGGGGGATGGTGCGGAGGAGAGGGAAAGAGGCAAGACAGGGAATATCTGCTTACATCTTTCCAGCTCAAAATCCGTCTCAAGACTCTGCTAGATAAGAAAAAGGTCATTCAATCCCGCGAAGGCATATCTAGACGCTCTGCCAAGTTCACCACACTGGAGGAAGGCTTCCAGCAGTTCGCCACCGACCTCAACAAGCTCCAGCAGTTCATCGAGATCAACGGCACTGCATTCTCCAAGATTCTCAAGAAATGGGATAAGACGTCCAAATCGAAGACCAAGGAGCTGTACCTGTCACGCGCCGTCGAGGTCCAGCCCTTCTTCAACGCCCCCGTCATAAGCGAGCTCTCGGACCAGGCCACGACAAGTCTGCAGGAGCTCGGCGCCTGGTCTGATGGTATCCAAGTCGACTTCCGGTCCTCGGCCCACGTCGTCACGAGCCAGCATTTCATGGGCACCGATGAGGCCGATGCCGACACGCTTCTCCTCGATACCGTCGTCACCGGCAACATCTCGTCGTTACGCGAGCTGCTGGAAAAGATGTGCTTGTCAAGGGACTCGGACGGAGGCGACGCCTCACTCATGGAGCGCGTCACCCGCACATTTCTGACTGCCGTATACGATGCCCCCGCCGAGTCGTTGCGAGTCCTCCTCGATACCAATCTGGTCGATCTCCACTCCTACGACGACATCAACGAGCGCAACTGTCTTCACCAGGCTGCCATCTACGGCAAGCAGCACGTATTGGAATGGGGCCTGGCCGCCGGCGTCGCCGTCGACCAGACTGATGTCTACGGCCGAGTTCCGCTACACTACAGCAGTCTCCACGGGCGCATAGCCATGCTCGAGGCCCTCCTGGATGGTACGTCCATCCCGTGCCTTGACCATCTCCGCACCCCTCCCCCCTCCCTCTCTTCTATGAGAATGCGATTCAAGCTGACACCTGCCCCCCTCCTCCCCCAACAGCCAACCCCAAGACCATTGACCTCATCGACCACGACAACTTTACACCTCTGATACACGCCATCATCCACGAACACCTAGACTGCGTCGGCCGTCTGCTGGAGAAGTCGGCCCGCATCGACCCCGTTTCGGATTCGGACCACGTGCCTCTCAACCTGGCTTGTGAGCACGGCTCGCTACCTATAGTCGAGCTCCTGCTCAAGCACGGTGCCAAGATCCTCCCAGACGCCGAGGGTCTGTACCCGCAACACCTCGTGGCTCGGTCGGGCCAGACGTCGGATCTCCTGATCCTCCTTCAGCAGTACGGGGCCGATCTCGACCAGGTCGACAAGCTCTACGGATGGACGCCGCTGGTGCATGCTGCCAGCGAGGGCAACGTCGAGTGCCTCAAGGCTCTGCTCGAGGCGGGGGTGGACCCAAACATCGTCGACGAGAAGGACCTCCCGGCCATGTACTATGCAGCGTGGGAAGGCCATCTGGAGTGCATGAAGCTCCTCACGCCCTTTAACCGGCAGAAGCTCACACAGCCGCTCGCGGGAGAAGGTGCAGACACGCTCAAAGCCAGCAGCGGCCCGGGCGCCATGTCGATCGACCCCGATGCCATCCCGGTGCTGGAGCTGCCTCCGCCGATCATACCGCTCCGGAGGTATGGGCACAACTTCCTCGACACCAAGACGGTGGTGCAGATCAGTTTCGACGACTCGGAGGAGCAACCGCTGGTCTTCTTCCAGGATGGCAAGTACCCGGCGGCACGCCTGACCATCTCGTCCAAGGTGTCGGATCTGATACCCAAGAACATCATCCTCCCCTTCCAAGAGGACACACGCATCGTGTCGTTCCAGGTGGACAGCCTCGACGCCTTCTCGCTCGACTTTGACGTGTTCCCAGCATACGGCGCCAAGGTGATTGCCAAGACGGTGGTGCTGCCCAACAACTTCAAGTCCGTGCAGGGCAACTCCAAGTGCTGCCTGCCGCTGTTCGACCCGCGGCTGCGCGCCATCGGCCAGATCAGCTTCAACACGCAGGTGATCAAGCCCTTCCAGGGCCAGCCGCTGGAGATTACCGACTTTGAGACGTACTGGAAGGCGACGAGCCAGTTCAGCCAGCCCACCAACGCTGTCGTCACAGGCTCCAGCCTGTCGGGCGACTACGTCCGCCTGTTCGTACAGTACACGAGCGACGGCGTGCCCGTCGTGTGGCCCAGGTGGACCATCTCATGCGGTGGCATAGACGTGCCCGTGTGCCGGCTGTCGTCGGAGCAGTTCGCCGCCACGGCAGCGGCCAATGGCCCTGCCAGGGGAGAGACGGCGGGCCTGCCGTCCAAGGCGGTGCATGACGCGGCCGACATCTACCGAATCCTGGCGGGTGCGGGCGTCACCCTGACCGAGGCCCTCTCGTCCCTGCCGCTGGGAATACACGTAAACCTGCAGGTCCTGTACCCGACGGTCGAGGAGCAGCACAGCCTCGCCCTGGGCCCCGCGCTGGACGTCAACGTCTTTGTCGACTCCATCCTCACCTGCGTATTCGACCACGCCCGCGCCCAGAGGGCCCAGTCGCCCGACTCGGTCCGGTCCATCGTCTTTGGGAGCTACAACCCCCAACTCTGTACGGCACTCAACTGGAAGCAGCCCAATTTCCCCGTGTTCCTGTGCAATGATCTGGGTAGGGAGCCTAGCACCGACGAGGACGGTACCGGCGCGGCGACCCACCCAGTAGAGATCAGCGGCAGGCGCAGCGTGTCCATCAAGGAGGTTGCGAGGATTGCTCAGAGCAATAATCTCATGGGGCTCATGTGCTTCTCACCACTTCTGGTATGCTACCCCTCCGCAGCTACAGCTGGCATCTAGCCCCCCCCCCCCCCCCCCCCCCCCCCCCCACATCACTTCCGTTATAACTGGGTTGCTGACGGTTATTCTCCTCTCAGGACATGGTCCCCGCTCTCGTAGATTCCATCAAGGCTCACGGCCTCGCCCTCGTAACAGATAGGTCGGAAGATGACTCGACCGAGACAGGAGGAGCGGACGCGTCCCAGAGGCCGGCGGCAAAGGGGGTAGACGGCGTTTTGAGAAGTCATGGGATTCTGCGTTTTAACGACTCGATAGACATGTAGACTTGCGTCTGCTCATTCCTTGGTTTTACGGTTTTACGGTTCAAATGTTTCACTATCATCATCGCTAGCCCTTGTTGGACTACTTCTCCTTTGCCTGTTTTTATTCTTTCTTATTTTATTTTTGTCATCTCATCCTTCTTTCGGTTCAATGGAATCTTGTAATAGAAGCATCTCAGGGGATGGGCGAATGGGCGGCCAGGGCAAAAGTAAGCGCCAGAGCAAAAGCAGGATGATGAGACAAAGGATTATTGCCCTCGAGAGCGCTGTGTCATTTATGATTCCTCTATACATGTATAATGAAACATCCCTTTTATCCATATATCGGTACACGGATGACCGTGTCAAGCTCCTCTATACTGATACTTGAGCGACGAAAGCTGCTCCTCCGGATCAACACCGGCCATGACGACCTTGGCGACGACGACGACGCCGTATATCAGCGCGGGTAGGCAGCTCGCCACGACGGCAGAGTGCAGAGAGGCGGCCGCGGCGGCGCTGGACCTGGGCACCACTAGACCGACCAGGATGAGAAGAATGGCCAGCGCACCGTTGAGATACGGCAGGTATCTATCCAGGGGGGAATCTCCGGCTCCTGCTCCGACAGTTCTGCCTCCGCCGCCGCCGCCCATCTTGATCTTGTCCTTGTTCTTGTTCTTGCTGTGATGTCCCGACGCCCGTCTATCATCCAGAACAGGCATGCCGGTCAGAGTGTAGGGGAGGCGATACGTCAGCAGGGCTGTGGACAGGAGGCAGGTTATGCTGAGGAGGGACAGGAGGGTCGTGGCGGGTCGGAAGAGGGAGGGGATGTAGGGGATCGAGGACAGGATGGGGACGACGGTCAGGACGCGCGCGAACAAGGCGTTCTGGGAGGTGTTTTCGATGGCGAGACGTCGGATGAAATCTTCCTGCTCTATGATGATAGTTAGCTGACTGTGGCGGAGAAGGAAGTGTGTCTTTTTTTGGTTTGTCAGAGAGGATGAAGGAGGGGGAAAAGAAAGAAGAAGGAATAAAAAAAATACCCTCTTCATCCATTGCTTCGGGTTGAGAGTCATCATCAGATTCGTCGGCGGGGTAGCGAAATGTGCGACGGAGGCGGGCGCTGGGTATGTCCATTTTTTTTCTTGGGAGGGGATGGGAAAAGAACAGAAAGGGAGGAGGAAGGCTTTGCAAAGATGAGTCTTTGATACTCAAGATGAAGAGATATAAGAGAAAAAAAAAGAAGAGAGAAAAAAAAAAAAGAAACGCGACGCTCTTGAGAAATGGTAAAACAAGTAAAGAAGAAGTGGATGACATGGTAGAAAGAGCTCCGAGAAGAGAGGTAACGGAGTGTGTGTGGTATGACGCACCATGATTCATTCAGGGTCCGGGGCAGCGCACGGTAAAATCCCGGGTCTGCAATAAGTCTGGCTTTGGTGGTATTACGAGATGGGAAAACCTCCCCTCCCATATCATCACCACCTCGCTCTTCAATTAAAATAAAATCACGCGACAACGACAAGTTCAAAAGTTCCTTCCGTGGCAAAGGGGGCAAGGATTTTTTTCTTCCTTCCTCTCTCTCTCTCTTTCTTCTTTTTCTCTTCTTCATATCAAGAAGAATGCTGTCACGAGTTGCTCTTCAGCAACGGCTGGCTACGCCTTGCGTGCGCGCCCGGATAGGAGGACGGTTGAGGACGACGAGGACGACGGGTCACCAGCAGAAACGATGGATGACGCCTGCGCCCAAGCCTGGTGATGGGCCTCTCATGTCACGACGAGCAGATCGTGCCTTGCCCGGTATGTTTTTCTCCCCCCCCTCCCTTCTCCTTCTCTTCCTCTTCTGTCTCTCCTTTTTTACTTCTTCACTTTTCTCACCTTTTTTTCCCTGTGTTTTTTATCTTGATCTTTATATCTATTTTCCCCAGATACGTCGTCCGTTTAATATTTTTTTTTTCTCTGACCCCCAATAACGGCGAACAACAGAGGTCGAACAGGTCAATTTTAGATGGGGTCGGACGCTACCCATCTTCCTGGCCATCGTGACGGTCTGCTCGGTCGCCATCTTCAACTACCAAAAGTCCTCGTCTCCCGTCATCGCATCGACGCTGTACGCGCTGCGAACCGACCCGCGCGCCCGCGAGATCCTCGGCGACGACATCTACTTCAACAACCAGATCCCCTTCATACACGGCACCATGAACCAGCTCCAGGGCCGCATCGACGTCTGGTTCACCGTCAGGGGCACGCGCTCCACCGCCACCATGCGCTTCTCCTCCCGCAGGCCCACGGCCAAGGGCATGTTCGAGACGTCCGAGTGGAGCCTCACCACCGAGGACGGGAAATGGATCGACCTGCTCGACGGGGGGGATCCGTTCAGGGCCATTGGCGGTGGTGGTGATGGCGTTGCCGGCGACGACGATTTCGTCATTGCCGTCGACGACGAGGCCCTGGTTGCCGCCGCCGCCGCCAGTCAGAGCACCCGCGGTTATCGGCAGCCGAATACCTCTTCTTCCAAGTAGGGTTTTGTCTCTGATAATATTACGTCGCGGAGCGGTTCCGAAGGAAAAAAAAAGAAAAAAAAAAGAAAAAAAAACGGACTTCATGTGTACGTATAGGTGAGAGAGGGGAGAGAGAGGGAGGGTGCATGCATTGATTCAAGATTTTTTAAAAAAAAGAGGGCGCAACGAAAGACGGTTTAAAAAAGAAGGCATGGTGGAATCTTTGCTCTATCTGTACAATATAATATTTCTTGTATGATACAAATATGCCCAATCGACTCCGGCAGACATAAATCTTGCCAGGAGAAAACAAAAACAATGGTTTTGATACATGGCTGTCAACAGCATCTCTCCCAACTTCCCCTCCCTTGTCTGACAAGTTGCTTCCCCCCCCACCCCACCGCCACTGATACACCCACTACAGATCAAGGTCAGGCTGACGCTGCTTCTTGAGGTCAATATGGGCGAGACGGGCGGCGAGGAGTCTCTCTTCGAGGTCGGGATTCCTCTGGCGCAGGATGTCGAGGGCCTTCTCGCGGTGAGAGAGGGAGGGGGCCTTTCGCTTCTTGGAGTCCTGGATCTTGAGGGTGCGGCCCTTGGGCCCGGGGACGGGACCGCTGACGAGGACGGTGCCGAGGTCGTTGTCGACGGCCATGACCTTGAGGTTCTGGACGGTGACGGACTCGTTACCCATGCGGCCCGGCATCTTCTTGCCGGGGAGGACGCGGGAGCCGGAGCCCTGGGAGGGGCCGACGGACCCGATGGTGCGGTGGTTCTTGGAGTTTCCGTGCGAGGCCTCCTGACCGCTGAACCCGTGGCGCTTCATGCCGCCGGCGAAGCCCATGCCGCGCGAGTTGCCCCTGACGTCGACGTACTGGCCGACCTTGAACCAGTCCGGCTGGAGCTGGGCCCCCACGGGGAGCAGGCCGGCGCTGTCGCGCACCATGAACTCGGCCAGCTCCGCCTTGGGCGCCACCCCCTTGGCCTCGTAGTATCCCAGCTGGGGGGATGACACGTTGCGCGCGTCCTTGGAACCCCGGCCGATCTGGACGGCCCAGTAGCCGTTGCTTTCCCGCGTCTTGTTCGCCACCACCTGCACCTGGTCCAGCTGCAGTACTGTGCATGGGATCCGTTGCTTGCCAACGTACATGGCCGTCATGCCCTTCTTGGTTGCCAAGACCCCCGTCCGAAGCGGGGTCGTGTTCTCCCGTCGCTTGAGCGCTGCCGCGGGGCCCGTCGTCAGCGAGGGAAGCCCGGACGACGGTTGGTTGAATCGCTTGTGCTTCGATCGGGGGGGCTCCGTCACCCAGCCGTTGTGGACCGAGCGTCGCGGCAGCATGAGGAACGGTGACGACGACGGCATCGCCGCCTGCTGCTGCCGCATCAGCGGCCGCGGGAGCGCCACCCGCAGAGGTAGACGGGGAGGCATTGTGACTTGTCGTTGATGGATGGGGTCGTTGGTGGTGGTGGTGGTGATGGAGGAGGTTTCGTGGTGAGAGTTGCCAAGATTCGTCCTGGGGGTGAAATTTTGGGCGAGTCGGCTCGGATCATCTACGGCTGC